AATGATGTGGCTCATCCTGATTAATATTGCACTTGCGATTCACTTTTCACTAGGTAAGATATGTAGATAAGGCACACAAGAGAAGTGGCCTGAGCAAGACTTGAATTATTCCCTATTAATTTCTTTAATTAACTTGGGAATTGCCTACTACCAAACCGCATGATATGCACATGGACTCCATAGATCCCCTTTGGATAGCTAGAAGAATATATGGAGCTTCGAAAAAGTATTATGCATTGATGAATAAGGGTGATTAAACATTTATACTGCATATATGTCTAAAAGGATTGGTGGCATGAAATGTCGTGACCTAGATTCTTTCAAATAATTAATTATTGATAATGATTGAATTGGCATCGAATATGTAATCTCTGTGTTCTAAAAGTTGTTTTGGACTTTTGAATTTCTCCAATAGTAGATTTAGATTGCAAGAGTAATATATAAAATAGTTAATGTTAGATTTTGATTTTGATACTATATATATATATTGACCAACCTATTCGTATGAGATGGTGTGTTATTACCCGCGCGTATCCTCTCCAACTCCAACTCCAATGATATCTACTGCACATAAATCCAGGGCACATACGTTCCCCTGGAGATGTCTATTATTATTCCTCGGAATATTTGAGAAAATTAATCTAATGAATTGCCATGCAAGTATATAATCAGTATACCAACTAATTAAATGATTAAACTGTTGACAAGAGGTACTTTGCCGTCACACCTTCTTTTTTTTCAGGAAATGGATAATAAATATATAATCAGCACATTTTGTCATATATAATCACGTACGGCATCTAAACTAACTGTCTTGCTTATAACCGAAAGTGCACGACAGGAGAGATGGTGCTGATACATACAGATTATTTCTTTTTTCCCCACCGTACGCAAGAACTTTCGCGATCTCAAAAAGAAAATTTCTCTTGCAAGCGGTAGACAAAAAGGCTCAATTATTGGTAACCGTAATCGTCATAGTCATGTACGTACAGTGAAGTAAACATTGGTCAATTATTGGTAACTGTATACAGTGAAGAAGCTACCTATGAACTACCTATGCCTTCAGGGAAGTACAGGAGAATGCAGTTCAGTCAACATTGGTCCCAAGTTTAGTTAATAAACATAGAAGCGTTGCAGCACTAACGTGATCCTGACCTAAACCTTTTGACCATGGATCATACTGGAAATCAGCACATTAGAAATAGTCTCTGCCTATCCTGATGACTAGTTGTTTATGCATACTTGTATAGCTAGTAGCGTACATAATCTGTCACCGAAATGCTGCACAATGTAGTATGGCTTTGTCTAATATATATTGCTGTAAGGCCATACTGAATCTTTGGCCAGCATGCAGTCGTCTGCCAGAAAAGAGAAAATTAAGTATGTTATATGTTGAAATGGTTAATGTCGTGTTCCAATTAAAGCAAACTGTACATGAGAATACGGCAACATATTCTTTGGTACCAGAACCTTGGAAAGGTGGTGTCAAGATTCGCAGAGAAGCATATACAATACAGTGAGAGAGGTTCTCTTTAGAAATTTTTTAGCTCGTGCGAAAACCTGAACAGGATCGGATCTCTGACTCTGACCGCGTTAGGCTGCATCGATGTTATACCTGTCGCTTCCTCCATTCTACTACGAATCTGAACGTAGTATTAGTATCTTGAAATCAAGCTATCAAATGTACAATTGTGTCAATTAGGCCTTGATTCCTGCATGCAGGCACGTCAAACAAATGGAGCTAGCAGGCTGCAGGCAGGGAAAGAACGGAGAAGAAGAAGTGAAGAAAAGATAATTTGTGGCCGGCCGGCAGGCAGGCAGGCAGGCAGGCAATGAATGGGCTTTATTCCAGAAACATTCCGGTAGCAGGTAGCAGCAGCATTGCATGCAAGCGTGCACGCTGTAAAGTCCCAGTTGCTTAGCCCTTAGGCTAATTTGGGGGAGATCTCTCCGATCGCCGCACATGCGGGTCATATGCAGATGCAGACACACAGCGACATAAAAGAAAACGAGAGAAAGATCGGCCGCCACACGCTGCTGAAGAAAGTTGTTTGCACGCTCGCAGCATCGCATGCATGGAGATTATCAGATTGATACTCTAATTGCCTCTCTCTTTGCTTCCTTTGACCAGCAACCCGATCGATATCAGTGACTCATCTTCTTGTCAGTAATTTAGGTGTGTGTTCCATGACATCCATGACCAAACCTGTACTGCTTCTACTACTTCTACTAGCAGCAGCAGCAATACAAGTGGTACCAAGTAGTCTCTTAGCATTGCAAGCAAGATAGATACCTGCACAAATGCGATCTGAATTTTGGGTGTTTGCTTTTCCCGGCGCCTTTCTTCAGACAGTAGATAGCCAAGCCAAGCTACTGCCCCCCAATGCATTTCCCACATGCTGTATGCGCTGTAAAGCAAGCTATAGCTAGCCTCTCTTGTTAGGTTAGATCAAGCTGAAGATCGTATATATATGCTTTCCCTGCAGAGAAAAAAGAGCTACTTAGTACGTAGCAGCACGCAAGAAACAAACAGAGAATTATAGTAGGAAGAAAAAGCTAACTGGAATTAAGATTGTGACTGATCGAATTGAACGTACGACTTCAAGCTAGTTATAGAGAGAGAGTATATATTCTGCCAATCTGATCGAGATTGAAGCGATCGATCGATCGCCTTTTCTACGCAGATATGAATCCAATGCATGCATGGATGGAGGCGGTTGTGGTTGCATCTTCTTGATTACTCCTAATTGCCTCTTTGTATAATGCACGCACGTAGTACGGCCTTGACCAGAGACTGAAATGAAATTTGAAAATATTTATTCGCTTTTTTTTTTGTCGTCGGCGGAAAGATGCTTTGACTATCGCATGCCCTGCCCTTGTCTTGTCTGCTGGGATTGCATGCATGCATGTTGGTTGCTGGCTTTTTCCAAGTTCCAACTGCTCCATCTGACAGGTGATCTAGCAATTGCAAGTCCTCTTGTTCCAAGTTACAGCTATGTTTTTCCCTTAATTAATTTCCCTTGTTTTGGCGGTAATGACAAGAAGAGATTGAATAACAGATAGAAGGAAAGAAACAGCTTATAAATATAATTTATATTCATTCCTTTGAAATTTATGTGAACACATTAGAAGCTGCAGTGAAATGGCACGACGAAAGAAACCCATATGTAGGACAAGACGAAGAGGAAACGGTGGTAGCGAAGCAATAATGTGGCATCGGCCCAAGGCAGCCCATAAGAGTTTGGGCCCACTAGGCCCTGAACAAAGCAAAGGTCCTCATGGGCTAGTAATAATAGAGGCCCAATACAACTGAAATGGGAGCCTAGACGAATCAGTTCAGAGCTTGGAAGTATTAGAATTATTGAGTGGGCTATGGTCCATGCGAAGAATAATTTCTAAAAAATCACAAAAACCTATCTCATGAAAAGAGTTACCTTCGTTTCAGATTATAAGACTTTCTAGCATTGCTCACATTCTTATAGATATTAATGAATCTAGGTACATATATGTCTAGATTCATTAACATATATATGAATATGTATAATGCTAGAAAGTCTTATAATATAAAATGGACGAAGTATATGTAAACATTTAGTATCACCTTAATTTATTTGCTCTAGGTTAGAGGGACCTTCTATCCATCTGACGAAAAGAACAAGAGGTCACGCGGTTGTAGAACCGAAGTCGTCAGTGCCTCTTGTTTTTTTCGTCAGCCGACACCTATTATACATATAGGTGTCGGATGAGAACCCCCAACCGGCACCTAAGAGGTTTCACGAGCCAAAAAAAAAAATCTGGTTCGATGCATGCATCAAGCAGCTCCCCATCACCCAAATCTAAAAACACATTTCTCACAATCAAGAATCAAGAATAAATTTCTCACAATCCCATCACCATCCATCCCAAATCCAAGAATACATTTATCATCATCCATGTACCGAGAATCAAGAACAAATTTCTCTCAGTCTCATCGCCATGCATCCAACAGTACAGAGAGACCGAAATTACAAAATTAAAAATCAACAAGGAAGAGAGTACACCGTGGTGAATCCTCCTGCCAGTGCGCCGACCGCCATCGAGAACACCAGCCCGATCTGGCCACCTGCCCACTACCGTCAAGGCCGCCCGCCCATCACCGTCAAGGCTGCCCGCCGGGGAGGAGAGGCCACCCACCCACCACCGATACCCGCAGCGCCCCTCCATGGTGAGGCCGCCCGTCGCACCACCGGGTGAGGCCGACCGTCACGCCGCCGAGAGAGGCCGCCCACTACACCATCCATCACACCGCAGTGGAGGCCTCCCACCGAGCCCACACTGTGAGGAGGCCACCCAAAGCTCCCTCACCATGGGAGGCCGCTGGCCACGCCACTTTGAGGAGTGGTGCCTGATTCGGCTGATCCCGCTACCGGTGGGAAGGAAGGCACCGCTGGACACGCCACTGTGAGGAAGAGTGACGCCACTGTGAGGAAGAGTGGCGCCGGATCCGGCCGGTCCCGCCACGCCATCGGTGTTCGTGGGTGGGGAGGAGAGGGAGAGAGTCGCGAGTGAGAGGGAAAGAGAGAGTTGCGAGAGGAAAGGCACAATGAGAGTTGCGAGACAACGAGAGGGGGTTGCATTCTTGCGGTCCTCGGAGGGGATAAGGACGGGAGCGAGTGGATAAGACGCGGTCGGCTCGGCTTGATTTTTTAAAACGGCACCTAGAATATATTATAAGTGTCAGTTTTATTTTGAAAAGACACCAGTAATAGTGTCGATTCTTTTTAAAAACGGCACCTATTTGAGGATAAATGTCAGTTATTTGGATTTTGGAGCTACCGTGTGTGGGCGCGTGGGTGTAAAAGACGCTATAGATGTCGGTTTTACCTACTCCCGCACATATGTTTTGTGGTAGTAGTAGTAGGGGATTATAGATTAAGAGTCACTCATACGGATAAATTAAACAGTATATAGAAGGTTATGCTGATCCAATATCTGGAGAAATCAATTACAGAAGCGTGGCATGAATAATCCAGTCTCCATTAGCACGCAGTCAACACTAACTGTAAAGCATCAAAAGTGTTCTTTACGTACATTACCAAATTAATGAACTTTCGTACAACACAAAGCTACAAAGTCTATCCCAGTCTATTTATATTTATTTTCACAGACGGACGGTATGTTTCACCTTGATTTATATTTTTATAGACGGTCATTTGGCTCTAATTTGGCTCTAAGGTTATATCCGCCTCCAAATATATACTGTACTATGTAGCACTACACTGCACCGTACAATACAAAAAAAATACAATGTAAAACAGCAACGTGCCAAAAGTTTTAAATAAAGAAAAAAAACAACTGACGTCTCGGCTCGCGGCAGCGCAAGAAAAAAAGCGCGCGAAAACGCCGTGTTGCGTTGCACCTTTTCAAAGCTTACAGCTTTGCACGCGATGCACTGCCGCGGCGGACATGGCGGCGGCGGCGGCGATCAGACGTAGCAGTCCAGGTAGCCATGGCGGCGGCGCCGGTGGAACTCGAGCAGGCTGCCGTACGTGCGGTCGGCGATGCTGACGAACAGCGCCTCCCCGCCGCCGCCATTATTCCCGGCGGGGCTGAACGCGACGCCGGCGATCTCCCCGAACAGGTCGATCTCCTGCGCGTCGGCGTAGCCCGCGGCGGCGTCGTAGACGTGGACGAAGTCGGCGGGCTCCGACGCGGCGAGGAAGCGGCCGTCCGGCGAGTACCGGAGCCCCCTGACGGCGCCGATCCGGCCCTCCAGCACCGCCACCGACCGCGACATGTTGCGCACGTCCCACACCCGGCACGTCCTGTCCTGGTTCCCCGTGGCGACCACACGGCCGTCGGGGTGCCACGCCGACGAGAACGAGTAGTCCAGGTGACCCTTCAGCCTCGCCATTTCCTTCCCAAAAGATGACACAAGAACACGCACAGCATTTCAGAGCTGATTTCTGAAATTGATTTCTGAATTTGGAAGCGAACATAGAGCAAAATTCTGCATGTACCTTGCCAGATTGTGAATCGGCGATCAGGCAGTCGGAGCTGTCACCAAGAACCGCGAGCAGCTTGCCGTCAGGGCTCACCGACGTATTCTGCAATGTAAAAATTAATTCAGCTCATGGATCATGGATCAGCAACTGAACAGTACACAAATTCTTCAGCAATTTCAGAGTACAGGATCGATACTCACATTGACCGACCATGGAAAGGCAAAGTGGCTAATGAGGCTGAATCTCTCGGTGTCGAAAGTTCTGACTACGCAGTCGTTGTTCGCGGTCGTAATTCGAGTACCGCCACTGAATTTCAAAAATATCATAAAATTCAGTTACCAATTAAACCATTTACAACTCGCTCTGAAACCCAGAATTGTGATGGTTTGCTTACTTTGGTGCCTGGTAGATGTCCACGGCATTCGTGATGGAATTGTTGTTCCCGGTCAGATTCGTACAAAACGCCACTCCAGGTTTATCAACATACTGACATAAGGTGAAGCAGTGAACTTAAGTAAAGATACTTACAAGAGAAACACCCACAAGTATGCAGTGTACACTGTTCAGTTGCTCATACCTTGCAGATGAGTTCACCCTGGAAACCACCGGCCACCATGAGGTTGCCTTTCACCGCCATGGTACTGATCTGCACCCGCGACAACGGCATAGCTCCCCGGACATTCTGAATAGCAGGTAGTGGCACAAGTTAGAGAACTTGTGGCGCACGGTCTAAAATGCTAACCGACTTGTCGCAAAGCCGAAGGCGCAAACCTGAGAGGGAGCGAGTTGGCCCGCGACATTGAGCACTTCCTTTCCTCTCTGGAGCAGGGAAGACCAGTGCATGACAGAGTAGTTCTGCATCAGATACACGTCATGCTTGGAAGTAGCCCACAGCAGGTTCCTCAGCTGCAGAGATGTCCACAACAACATGGTCATTTACATTTTCAGAGGAATTGATAGGATAGAATGCAAATGGTACTACAAGATGTGATCGTGCAAGTCAATGACAAGTTTTTACAGTAAAAATTTCAACTGGCACTACCTAAATGGTTCAGAAATAAGAATTTTCTTTTTCAATTCCTCTAATGTACTAGTACCAAGTGCCTCCTCACAGAACCTCTAGAGCAGTGCCAGTAAGCAGACAAGACTAGAAGAATCAGTTTCTGGCAAGTATATTATAATTTGCAGACATCCAGATGCTACTGCCAACCAAAAGTTATCCTTTATGTTCAGCAAGGAGCTATCGAGCTATTAATGGGTAAAGGATAAAATGGACTGTTCACTGTTATTTTTTAATTAAGAATTTAGTATCACTTAGTAGTTTTTAGCTACCCAGAACAGTTAGCAACACAACAAAATCAAATCAAGAACATGCAGTTAAACAACATACACGGCACAAGATGAGCAATCTTCATACACTATTAATGCATAAAGTACAACCAAAAATGATGATGCATAATGTATTTCTGAACTCTCATCTCCAACCTGCAACAAAACTCAGAGGTGACTTATTTAACAGTTCTGCCTATCATAAAACATCCTATCATACCATATTCCACGTGTATAATTGCGCCGACTGCTGAGAATGACCATCCACCTGGGAAGTAAGATATTGCATCTGCCCTAATATCATGGGTTAATTTGCTCGTATCGAAAACTATCTCAGTTTAGCATATTTTGATTCAACTCATCATACAACCTGCAGTAAATATTATGTCTATATAAACAAAAGGGCAGAAAGGTACAGACAGTACACTTTATTAAACAGAATATAGTGATGCAGGTTGTGCACATGCAAATGGTATGCATAACAGTACGAAATTTTGGAGACTATTTGTTAATCATAACAAACCTAAGAATAAGCTAGATAAACATCATGTGCATAATAATGATAGATGCTGATACCACATAGATGAATTTTTATTTAAGCTTGTGGACTTTTTTATTTAAGAAAGAGAGGGAAACTTCTTCCATTTCTATTACCATAAATAATTGTGGTTAGAAATTAGACTGTTGGTATCTAGTTATGTATTTTTCAAAAATTGATGAACAAAATATAGTATAGCATTCATAGGGTGCTATGCAAACAAATCATAAAGTTAACTAGCATTGTTAATTCAAAACTTTCTATAAAGCGGTCACCCAAATGCATACGCCAGCTTTCTTATGCATACAAGTATCTGAATGACAGGTCAGAGGAAATCGGTACCTGAAAATGAACTATTGTTGACTTGACAAGTCTTGTATTCAAATGAAAATCATAGAATGTGTCTTTTCTCTCCACTTGTTTGCATTCCTAGAGAAACAAATGAATAATATATATATGTAACCAAAAACATTTAAGTGCAAGAGGAAGAGTATTGTTTTAAGTAGAAAAACACAAGAATCTCACCTTTTCTAGTCCATCACGCGGCATAGTAAGGTTCTCATAATTCTTATATTGCCTTAGTCTCATCTCGCGATACTGATTCCTGCTATAATTCAACCGTTCCCACGGTATCGTCCATCTGCTTGTTCTGAAATAGAGAGCACCTATTAGCTGCAGTTTTATGCAGTTTTGGTAAAACAAAATCGGAGATCTTTTGGGGAAGATGGAACTCTGCTTTTCTGGCATGACCATTTTTTTCTAATCTTTGCAAAAACTGGCAATTTTCTTGGTATAGCTGACGCGAATATATATATATATGTAATTCTCTGATCAAAGACTGTAGAATTCCCTCTCTCGTTTTCTTTTGACCAGTCAAACCATATTAGATTGAGCAGTATAATGTAATATGTAATACATTGAATTATGAGTGGAATACCTTAACATTATATAATTTTGTATTAATTTAATCCGAGAATAGTCTTTGGTGCTTCATTTAATTTGTTTCTTTTCCCCTAAATTCAATGACATCCCACTGGCAGTAATGAACTGAATCTCCCATCTTTTTTCATCCAATAAACCATATATTTATATATACTGTAGTAGAAAGGGGTATAATTTTCCAACAAAGAAAGATTAGTGGTACAACCAGTGCAAAAGTATGTTGCTCTGGACGTGTAGCAGCTACCAGGGTTCTCTCCCAACAGTCAATTGATAATTTCTCTCATTTCTGTTCATTATCAAGCCAGGTTATTTGTGGTAGAAAAAAAACCCCCAAACATCCCAAAAGTGTGGTTCCCTATGTTACTTTTGTAACAAAGGATATAAAATTATCAATTACTACGTTCTTTACAGCTACTTCACTAGATTAGTACCGCGGATAATTTGATCCATGCCTGTAAAAAATAACATCTTTCTAGACCACTACTTGTTTAAGCTATTTGTTAAGTTTATTTCTAAAAGTATTAAATATATCGTTATAATTAAGTAGATAATCCGTGACAAGAATCCTGTGAATAATCTGTTTCAAACGTTATGAATATGTGAGGACCATAGTGTCAGACATGCTTTTTGATTGCATCTTTACCTGAAACGTCCATGAATAACCAGAAATTGCACAAACTAAGGCAAACGCTATGTAAACAAGAAGACATGAATTTTCACTGGAAAAAAAAAACCTTGTGACCATGGTTTGTCAGACATATATATGGACAAACTAAGTTGATGTAACGGCGCACCAACTCAAAAGATATTTTTCCCCCTTAATCATTTTATTTTTTTTCTTTAGGTAATGTAACAGTTTATCTTGTAGGATTGTTAGTGATCAACATAAATATTGGGTCGTACAAACAAATATAGAAATAATTAATTTGAAGTCGGAATTAACCCATACCGTCTGGGAGGCTGAAGTGGCGGCGGAGGTGTGGAAGCCATGGCCGGGATCGTGATCGAACTCCAAGTAGTAGTCGTCGTCGTCGCCGGAGACGAACTCCAGGTCGTCGTGCAAGTCGTGGGCCATGGATGATAATATGTTAAACCCGGGAATCAATCTGCCAAAAGAAGAGGAATGATTAGGGGAGATTCAGCAAATAATTAAACGTGTGTGTTTATATACAGTATCTCCATCTGTTGGAACTGGAAATTAACTCGATGCAAAAGGAAAGGGAAGGCGAGATTGATGAGGTGAAATCCAAAGGGGGAATCAAGAACAGCGTGAACTGTAACAAACAAGGAGGAGGAGGAGAGCGTGAGAAAAAACGACAGCTCACCCGAAACGAAACGAAATGCTCCTTCCTCCGAACAACCAACCAAACCCTTCTGTTCCTCCGATCTTTTGCTGGTTGGGTTGTTCACTCGACCTGAATGCAAATCAGATCACTAGCTATGTTTGTTGTTTTTGAGTGGTAGTAGAACTAGTCACCAGCAGTAGTAGGGAGGAGGGGAGAAGCGTAAAAGAAAAGTAGCCATTAATTTCTTTCTCCGAGGTATATATAGGCGAGCCCTGCCTGCCGTTTGGACCCCGTCGGGGCGCCGTTGGTTTGGACTGGCGAGGTGGGCCCACGGGTGGTGGGGGCCGCACGGTGTGGGGTTGTCTAGGAGCCCAGGCCCAGCCGTGTGCAGGACAAGCAGCATGACCATAAAATGGATAGGCTTTTCCGCACGCGGGGCTGAGGACTGGGGTGATTCGTCGCTCTCGCCGGCCGCCACGATATGGCGGATCTAGGGACGGGAAGGCATGGGCTGGCATGTGTTCTCATGCTGACAGCCATGTGCCGTTCTCGTTCGCACCTGACGTGGAATTCTCTCGTGCAATATCGTACTGTAGTACCCATCCCTTTCAGGTTACAGATTATTCAAAGTTAAACTACTTAAGTTTGACTAATTTTATAAAAAAATAGTAATATTTTTAACACAAGATAAATATAATATGAAAATTTATTCAATTATAGATTTAATAAAACTAGCATATGCTAGTGTTGTAAATATTATTTTTTTAAGAATTAGTTAAAGATTAGTTTGACTTTGACCAAAATTAAAATATATTACTACCTGAAACGGAGGGAGGATAAAGTTTCAAAAGTCTTAGAGGAATCGGGAATGTAATATATAGTCAGTTTAAATGCAAAATAGTGTACCAACACTACGTGGTTCTCTGAATCGACTCAACACAATGGAAGCTATCGTTTGGCTGATTTTAACCATAACCGAAATGGCATATTTTTTCTAAAAAAAATAATTTGTGAACAAAACTTTTATATACGTGTTCTTAATAGTTTAAAAAGTAAAGACTATAAAATAAATTTCGATAAAAAATCTTAAAATCAACTTCAAATTTAAACTTGAAAATTTAAATTTTAGCTGATAAGTAAAAGCTTAAGTGGAAAGATGAGGCCAAATGTGTAAATGTGTGTGCCCTGCTTGCACCACACCAGGTCCAGTGCAGGACAATGTGAGCGTGAGCGGCTGGTTCGTTCGCGTGGCGTACGTCGCGCGCAGACAGGCCACCACAGCCTCCCAACAGAACCCTCCGCACGGAAAACAGATTAATTAAGTGTAAGCTATTTTTTTAAAAAATAGATTAATTTGATTTTTTAAGCAACTTTTGTATAAAAATATTTTTAAAAAACGTACCGTTCAACAGTTTGAAAAACATACACGTGAAAAAGGAGAGAGACGGTTTAGAAAAAGAGCTTCCGAACACACCCCATGTAGCTTTGCTTGCTTTGTACTCGTGGTACTACGTACTAGCTACCTCCCGCATGGCGCACGCGGATGAAAGACCGAGAAGAAGACGCTGCAGATTGGAGTCGATGGAAGTAGTTTGGGTGATCGGTCCCGCTGCTTGCTATGCTAGCCCCGGTAGGGGGTGTATATACGCTGCCGACAAGAGACGATAGCTGTGCCCATCTGCCTGCCCTTCCACACGTGGCACCGGCCTCTCACCCTCTCGCCCAGGCCACACAACTCCCACCCAAACCCAACCACACGTGGCACGCGACACGTACGTGCACCACATGCACGTACACCTGCAACGCTGGCCCCCACCATCATATCAAAACTGACGCCGGCCGTCCGTCCGTCCGTCACTCAAATTAATTAACCTCCCGTAGCCACCTGGCTGCTTCAACGACACCGATCGATTCATCCTCCACGGTGGAATTTGGATTCGCGCGCGTACGTCACGATCCATCCGCCCATCGATCGATCGTTCCGGACGAATGCGAAATGCCGACCGGACCGACCAACTCCACCTCTACTAGTAGGAGTATAATTTAATTTGGTCGGTTGGACCAGACACTGTTCTTCGTTTCAACTTATTTGGATGACAGGGACTTTGCATACGTTCGTAGGTACGTGTTTGTTTATCTATAGATAGATAAACACCGGTATATATATATATATATATATATATATATGACACTCATATGGGGGTACCGGGTACCATGGTATGAAATACATAAATTCGTTCAAATTTTTAAATTGTGAGTATATACCTAGTTGTAAGAATTCGATTCATACCTATACCTAGCAATAAAACAACTCAAATTTAACTTTATTTCACAATACAATATTACATACCTAACTAATTATATGTTTGGATGCTATATACCTAGAATCAAAATCTAACAAAAATATGTTTAAATTTAGTTCAAACTTGTTTTTGAACTAGTTAGTAAAGTAGTTAATATTAATACCTAAACATTTAAAAAAAATTATACTCATTTGAATTGAGTATATACTCAATTTGAATCATGAAGCCCGGACACCATGGAGCACTAAATAAATTTTATATATATATACACACACAGTAGGCGCAAGGATTTAGATAATCCTTATTAATGCGTAGTACGTGCTCAATGCATGCTGAATACTGACAGGTAAATTATAATTTGTGCCGTGTTCCTTTCTACCTGACTCAAATTAATATACTCCCTAATTGTCATGATCCCCTGCAGTCTTGTGTTATCCGAAACAGTGATCATACGTAACTAACTAGCCAGATCACCGCTTGTCGTGTCACTTTTATTCTTTTCCAAGAGAGAAAATTAACCTGTCGCTGTTAGCGTGGATACTGTTTCAAATTGCCGATCGATCAACTAATTATTTCCCGGTTACTCGTGTCATGTGCCGCCCCATGTGTAATTAACTACGATCGGGAGAAAAATTGATCGCCCTCGACATCAGCTGATGACGATGTTACAGATCAACGATGACACTGACCAGAAAGATGCATGCATCGGGCGTCGGATTTTTTTTCCCTTTTCTGTTTATTCAAACCATGCAGATTGAGGAATTGCTTCCCTCATGTATTAACAGAGAAAGTGAAAGTTTCGCATTCTTACGGTGATATTTACTACTAGAGTATTGCTACTAGATAGGAGTATCATCATACATAAAAAGGGGATGTTTAGATCTAGGGATGTAAAGTTTTGACGTATCACATCAGGTATTATATAGGACGTTGCATAGGGTGTTTGGACACTAATAAAAAAACTAATTACATAGGGCCTGTTTGGATCCGGAGGACTATTAAATAGCCCTCCGGATCCAAACATGCCCATAATCCGTTAGTAAACCGCGAGACGAATTTATTAAGCCTAATTAATCCATCATTAGTAAATATTTACTGTAGCACTATATTGTCAAATCATTGAGCAATTAGGCTTAAAAGATTCGTCTCGTAAATTAGTCGTAATCTGTATAATTAGTTATTTTTTAGCGTAATATTTAATACTTTATGTAGGTGTTTAAACGTTCAATATGATAAGGTGAAAAATTTTAGGATAGAATCTAGAGATGGCCAAAATCTGAAGTTCTCAACACGTTGTAATTAGAGAATGTACTCGAGTTTCACATACACGTGTGCGCGCGCGCAGGCAGTGCAGCTTTGCCAATGCCTGCAACTATCTTTCTGTTCTCCGAGAATGGACAAGGAAGTGATACCAGGCCGGCTATGGTAGAAGCAGCCCAATACACAGAAGGGGTAAGGCTAATTTGATAGGCCCAATTTCTCAGCCTATGGTGGTGTTCTTGGAAGATTAAGTTTTTTTACGTAAAAAGAGGTGGTATTAATGTATAATTGATTGAGTTTTAATTATTGCAAACTTAAAAAATAGATTAATATGATATTTTAAAGCAACTTTTATATAGAAAGTTTTCGCACGAAACGCACCGTTTAACAGTTTAAAAAACGTGCCACGGAAATTTTAATCTCTATCCAACTCTTGTTGGAGAAAAGAACGGGACAAGTGGATAGGCTGTAATTTCGGTTGAATTCACGGCCTAGGAAAATCCACGCAGGAAAATATATGGATTCCTTGAAGTGTCCGTGTTAAATATATGGATTCCTTGAAGTGTCCGTGTTACCCCTTATAAATTTGTCCATTGCCTCCTTTTGGAATCCTATCCTATCTTCTTACATAGTTGGTAACCACTAAAGGGTATTTACTTCTATAAAGTAATACATGTAAAGAAGCCACAACATCAACAATTTTAAGCCATCAGATCATATTAGTACAAAGATAACAACCGTTGGATAAAAAGCTACTTATTCATCCAATTCAATCATTTATTAGTTATCCATTCACCTCCCTTTGCTCTACCTCATAGTTAGGGGTGAAAACGGTACGGAAACTTTCCGGATTCTGGACCTATTTTCGAAAACGAAATCTGTCGGTCAGAATTTTTTCGGAATTTTTCAGAAACGGAAACGAATTCGGAAATATTTTCTCGGAAACGGAATCGGAAATGATAAGGGCAGTTTCCATCGGAACTCGGAATCGGTCGGAAACTTTCCGGAATTTTTCTCGGAATTACCAGAAATTTTGTGACTGAAATACCCTGGATTCTTTTTTTAAGCACTAAATAGTGAATACCATGGTGTTTGGCTGTTATTTTTTAAAAAATATTTTTTATGTAAATCTAAAATTACATAAGAATATCTTTTGTCCTACATTGGGATTTATCAACAACATTACTCTTTTAAACATAGATAATTTATTCAATTGGATTTATCAGTTTGAGGGGTTTTTTTTATTCCGATATAAATTGGATATAAATTGTCTAACTACAACGATACCCATATTGCGCATGAAATTCGTATATTATAACAGTGCACAATAACGCTTGGAAAAATAAAGCATGAATTGTATTACTCCCTCCGTCCCATAATATAAGGGATTTTGAGTTTTTGCTTGCACTGTTTGACCACTCGTCTTATTCAAAAAATTTTAGAATTATTATTTTTTTTGACATACTTTATTATCCAAAGTATTTTAAGCACAACTTTTCGTTTTTTATTTCAAAATACTTTGGATAATAAAGTATGTCAAAAAAAAATAATAATTCTAAAATTTTTTGAATAATACGAGTGGTCAAACAGTGCAAGCAAAAACTCAGAATACCTTATATTATAAGACGGAGGGAGTACGAGAGAGCTAGAATCGAAGAACAATCAAATCCCTTTCTCCACTCCAACACGAATATAAGGCCTGGTTTAGTTCTCAATTTTTTTTCCCAAAAACATCGTATCAAATCTTTGGACACATATATGGAGCATTAAATATAGATAAAAATTAAAACTAATTGCATAGTTAGGGAGGAAATCGCGAGACGAATCTTTTGAGCCTAATTAGTTTATGATTAGCCATAAGTGCATCAGTAATGACGGATTAATTAGCTTAGGCTCAAAAGATTCGTCTCGCGGTTTTCAGACAAGTTATAAAATTATAGTTTTTTCATTGTGTCTAAAAACCCTTCCGACATCCAATGAAACACCCAAATATTTTCTTTTCGCGAACTAAACAGGCTCTAAAAAAATGCAAAAAAGAGTCACCCGGAGCACGGACATTCTCATATGCTGTCCCTTATTTCAATGCGACATTTTAGCGAATTCGAATTGCGATGTAAAAACCTGCTAATCATGATGGAATGATGCCAATTTTCTCGGGGCAGAGAGATCATCTACTAGCCTACTGGGCCCACCTGTCGGCGTCAGTTAGGATCCCGAACTCGTCCCCACCACTTGAAAACCCTATGCACTCCCTCCCACCCCCGGCCGCCGCCTCTCTCCCCATCCTCCTCCTCCTCCGCCGCCGCCGCCGTCGGGAAGTACACCTGTGCTCTGGTTCCGGCGACACCGCGAGCGAGGAGAGGAGAGGTGGGGGTGAGGGAGTGAGGGTGAGGCCGGGGTTGGGCACCACCAGCAAGCCAGCCAGCCCCCCCGTCCCCTTAGATCCGGGCCGGGCGTTCTCCGGCGATCTCACGGCCATGGCGTCCCGCCGCCTCTTCGCCTCCCTCCTCAGGTCCACCGCGGCGCCGCGCACCCCGTCCACGCCCGGGTGCCTCTTCAACCGCGCCGCCGCCGCCGCCTACTCCTCGTCCGCCCCCTACAACGGCCAGGTACTCTTGTTTGTATGCGCCATGGATAACGTATATCTCGAAGCTAATGATGAATTGATGATATCCCCAAGCGCACTGGATGTTTTCACCTTGGTTAGCAGTAATTGCAGAGATTATTTTCTTTCCTTTTCTCTTTCAACAATATATTTCAGTAATAATAAGAATGGTTAATGTGAGCCACCCAGCTGAATCATCGGTACATACCAAAGTACTCTTTAGAGATTTTGCTCAATTCAGTTTAATTTCTCTGCCTCATTTTTTTTCATTCACCTTGTGGAATATCGATATTACGCCTCGTTATATTATCATAGATGCTGAGATCAGACTGCATCAATCACTGAATCTCACAATTTGACAAGATCGATTTTGTCTGTCCGTCCAGGGTTTTCCACTTCCTCAGTCTGAAACTGCTTCACGTCTGGGTTTGTTCTCCAGTCCCGGCGACACACGCCAACCTTCATACGGAGACCGTCTAATGCAGTCACAACAGCTGAGTCAAGACTACCGTGCTAGGACACAGGCCAATAATGCGCCACGTTTTGGTGACACAATGTGAGTAGGCAAATGGTATTTCCATGTACGCTCATATGATTTATGTATTCCATGTTCTGCTGATTGTTCATTCCTGCCTCATTCTGTATTAAGGTCCAGGATAGCTGGTGGCGAGAACTCTTCCTACTTTGGGACCCCATCACGCATCTTTGACGAACACAAACAATCTTTGGTGAAAGGAAAGAGAGATTTTGTCCATGTCTTGCTGAAGAGAAATAAGACCTTTGTGACCGTGACAGACGTTAGGGGGAACAAAAAGACCGGGGCATCCGCTGGTTGTTTGGAGGACAGGAAAGGGCGCTCTCGTCTTTCCAAATATGCTGCTGAAGCAACTGCAGAACATGTCGGGCGTGCTGCCAGGAAGATGGGTTTAAAATCTGTGGTCATGAAAGTGAAGGGAACTACATTTTTCAATAAGAAGAAGAAAGTGATCCTGAGCTTTAGAGAAGGCTTTCGGGGTGAAAGAGTAAGGGAGCAATCTCCTGTGGTGCTCATCCACGATGTGACCCAACTTCCACACAACGGATGCCGACTCCCCAAACAACGCCGGGTTTAGGTCTCAGCGAGCTGGAATCGAACCTGAGTTGAGAGGAGTCGAAGCATTCAAGGTGATCTGGAAGCTCTATTTAAGCTGTGTGATGTTGGTCTAGTTGACCTAAGACAGATATGTATTGTTTCTCTTGGCTCTGCTACTTGAATTGGTTTTGGCATGACTTATGTTACTCAGTTAGTTAAGTTATCATCAATTTCGCCACTTCTTTTTATCAAATTGCAGATAGGAACTGAAACCCCAACCGTTGTATGGTATGTTATGACTTATGAGGAACATATATATGGTTGATTCTCCTTCAATAAATAGCAAAGCCCTCGCCCCTTTTTCTTGAAACAGTTTGCACTTGCCCATTTTTTAGCTTGAGGTACTACTGTACTAGAATTGCAGCATGGCATTGCTGCGCTAGCCCTTTTATGTTTTAGCAGACATATGGTACCTCATGGTGTTTAGATCAGCTGCTTCATGTTATTTTTTAGTGTTGTGCTGGAGGTAGTAGATATGGGTATTCGCTGTCAATAGACTTATTACTTCCACTGAGTTGTCCATTGTGTATGTAGCGGTAAAAGCTGTAAGAAGGGGTGAAATTAGGGAACCACTGAACCCATGAGATTTCAAGATCCATTTCTTTACTAGGATGCCATTTTAATGCTGATTGGATGATGAAAGTTTTATGCAAGATGACGTTCCATTGGCCTTCACTTGCCAATGGTACCTGTAATCGCTAGGTTTAAAATAAATTGGTGGAACTGCATAAACATGATTTATCGCAACGCCATCATAATAGTTTTATAACATGTATTCATTGCAACCTGTATGATTTGATGGTAGAGTTGTTTTTCCTAATCTTTTTTTTTTGTGTAGCATTGCTATACCTTACAAATATTCTATGCCCAACGCTTGAGATTTTCTCTGTAGTGACTCCCCTGAATTTAGTGGTGAGCAGTGGAATGGTAACCTTGTAGTCAGTTCAGTACCGAAACATATTCTTTAAAAGAAGCCATATATGCCATGTATGATTAATTTGTGGTGTAAAAGCTTAGTAGCACCAGTCATGACTTCAATTACTCTGATAACATGCTAGCTGTAGTTTACTGCCTTGATATACTCGATCGTAGAAGTATCAGCTTGTAATTAACTAACTGGGATGTGTAACTACTAGTAGCTCATCTCATTTCACCTTTGCATCCAAGGGCGGATCCAGGGACTTGTCTCCTTCTTCCTTCAGTTCCCCTCTACTGCTTATTTTCTCCCTATTCTTTCTCTTTCATCTCCGCTTCTATCAATGGCGGGGTAGGGGGGCTCGAGTCCCCCTAGCATCCACGCTGGATCCGCAAATTGCATTTGATACACCTTTTTCTATTTGCATCAGTTCCTATAATTTGAGAATACTTACTACTACCTCTGTCCAAAATAACTCCCATCTTTGATCTACTTTACACACGCCACACGCCAATGAGATGAGCTCGGTCCAAAATGTGCATCGATTGCTTAAAAGATAAAGTCTTTCTTTGTGGGACAATTGAGTTGATCGGACAAAATGTGCAAGTTATTTTGGGACTCTGGAGGGAGTATTAAGGCCTTGTTTAGATCCCCTGGTAAATTTTTTCACCAAATCACATCGAATATTTAGACATATGTATGAAGTAGTATTAAATATAGATAAAAAATAACTAATTACACAGATTGCGTGTAAATTGCGAGACGAATCTTTTAAGCCTAATTGCTCCATGATTTGACAATGTGGTGCTACAATTAGGCTTAATAAATTTCTCTCGTAGTTTACAGGCGGAATCTGTAATTTGTTTTGTTATTATAGTACGTTTAATACTTTAAATGTGTCCGTATATCTGATATGACACGACAAAAATTTTCACCAATAGATCTAAACACATCCTAAAAGAAGTTACGCCTTGTTGACTGTAATACAGATAGTTGGGATCCTTGCAATTTACTTCTCCCATCCCAAAATAAGCGCAACCATGATTTTTTATGTCCAACTTTAATCGTTCGTCTTATTTGAAATTTTTTTCAAATAACTAAAAATACATAAGTTACGTATAAAGTACAACTCATGTTTTATAATCTAATAATAATAAAAATGCTAATCATAAAAAAAAATTTTAAATAAACGGATGATCGAAGTTGAACACGAAAATTTATGACTGTGTTTACTTTAGCACGGAAGGAGTATCTTCGTCTGATTGGGAAACATGGTTGGTGATAGCGGTGACGGCACGGCCAATGCGCACTGCCAGAAATCACAGAGCACTCCAGCAGTACGCCATGTCGCCATGAAACTGATCCAGCAGAAGCAAACAGCAACAATGTGAACTGGCCAAGCCTAATTTGGTGGGCCCAATTTGTTAGCCCACCTCTTCGAATAGGTCACTATTTTGGCTTGGCCGGAATAAGGCCACTTTAGGTCCCTCGTCGTGATGTCGAGTTTAAATTATGTCCTTTTAACCACAATATCAAATATAACGTCCTTGAATCACAATATCAAATATAACCTGTCTCTCAACTTTGTAATACCAAAGTACCTAAGGTCAAAGAGCAATATTGTCTCTGATTTTGGTTGATGTGACAAGTTCAGTGTGGTCAACCCGATTGAGTTAGTGTGGGTCTACTTGTTAAGACAGTGACTCACGTGGGGAATAAGGTAAGGGGCCCTAATGCCACGTGGGTTCCACACTGACTTAAACAGGTTTATTGCCATCAACTCACCACATCAGCCGAAACCGTGTATAATGTTTTCTTGAGATTTATTTGAGATACACGTATTATATCTTGTATATTGTGGTTGAAGAACCAATTCAAACTCAACGTCAACGTATGCAAGTGTATCCACTGCGAATGGCATACTTTTGGGCTTAGTAAACAGGTCAGGGGCGAGGCCACCATTTTTAGATAATGAAAATGGATTACATCTCCTGCTTCTGTCATAAGACACACAACTATAAGTTTAACAGTAATAAAAAGGTAAGGTAAAAGTAAATCAAAATGAGAAATAAGGTGATGGGACAAATCCCCAACTCCCCTTTATTATTGACTAGCTTTAAACCACATAAATTTTTTTTAGCTAGCAATTCTAATGGAACTACGCCACCCATAGTGGAATAAGAGACCCTTGGCTACAAATTCCAAGAGTGTAGGCACCATTGCGTATAGTATCCTGCTCCTCCTGTGGTAGCATCGTAGACCAAAAGTGGAACCAGTAGAAAGACATGAAGATAACCTGCATAGGGTTAGATAATTATTTACCATTAAAAACTTTATCATTACGACAACGCCAAATTGACCAACATACAACACTAGCTCCAATTAGAATCATCTTCTTAATGGACCTAGATACACCTCTAAGCCAATTACCGAAAATGTTTTTGGCGTTACGGGGTGGGGGTATTAAAAGCAAAAAACACACATCTCCAAATAAACTGAGCGACATGACACTCAGAAAAGATATTGGATTGTCTCTTGTGCATAGCAGAAAGAACAATGTTTGTCTCCTCCCCATTTTCTTTTAGCCAGGTTATCTTTCGTTAGAATTACTTTCTTGTGAAGAAACCACATAAAGACCTTGATCTTTAGTGGAATTTTCAAGTCCCACAGAATTCTCTTTTTATCCAAACATTACAGTTTATGATCGCGAGCCCACCATGATTCATAGGTATTCATATGTATACCTAAGAATTATAGAAAAGAGTATATATATACTTTATACTTCGCATATGTATTAAAAAAATAAGCCTCAAACAACCCAATAAGCATGCAAAGTACTCTTGTTGGACCCAAATTTCCCACTCCCCTGGCCTCTCCTCTCTCTCACTCTCCTAGCCCGCACCACCTGTCTCTCCCCTCCCTTAAGCCTAGCTGAGGCTACTGAACAATCAAAGACCGGACATGAACTGTGTAAAACCGAACTTATTTTTGACGGAGGGAGTATATCTTTTATAGGAAAAAGTACAAATTACCCACCTCCCTCCCGCAAACTATCGCGGTCAATCGAATTATCCCCCTGAACCCAAAAACCAAACATTACTCACCTGAATTTTCAATACCAGACAAATTACACCCTTCGACTTAATCCAGAGTTATTTTGTCTTACGTGCGTACATGCGGCAATCTAGTCAGTATTTTTCTTTGAATAAAATGGTGGAACCTACCTGTCATACCTTCTTCCCTCTTTTCCCCTTCTCTCTCTTGGGCGCAAAGCGCACACGGGCGCACGACAGCACGGCAGCGTGTGGACGGGCAGTGGGCGGCAGCGCGTGGGGAGCAGACGGGTGGTCGGCATGCGGTAGAGCGTGGGGAGGACACGACATCGGCGGGCGACGCCGAGGAGGGCATTGGAGGACGAGGACGACGGGACGGCGGCGGGGGCAGACGCAGCTTGGGGCGGCGGATGGTGGTGGAGGCCGCTCAGAGTGTCGAGGATAGCGGTGGACGGCAGTGCAACGGCGGTGAGTGAGGGAGGCACGACGGCAGTGAGGGCAGACGCAGCAGGGGGTGGTTAGATGGCGGCGGGTAGTGGCGGAGGCTGCTCAGGGAGCTGAGGACGGTGGTAGGACGACGGTGGGAGAGGGCGGCGAGGCTGATGCAGCTCAAGGATGGGCGGTGGACCGCGGACTCGTCGCCGGAGCCCGACGCCATGTCCCTCTTGGCATCCCCCACCCGCTCGCCCTCCACCCTCGCACTTGCGGGCGCCGGTGCGCTCGCGCCCTACCTTGTCCCCGGGGCTCCCGAAGCAGAAGAAGGGGACGGTGAGGCAGGCGGTGGCGGCGAGGGGAGGGGGAGCTCGTCCTCGGCCACCGCCGAGGTGCGTCGCCTCCTCGGCCTTCCCCGGCGGAGGAGGTGGAGGTCGTTCGAGCGTCGGCAGGGAGAGGCGCGGGAGGACCTCCGCCGCCGGCAGCGGATAGGAAGAGAGAAGTGGAGAAGAAGGAAGAAGAAAGAGGGTCGCTGAGGGAGCTCAAGATAACGGCGGGCTCGTCGATTCCTTCCCACGAGCTCCATAACCTTCCCTGTTGCGCCTGCCACTGGCCTCGGGGTCCGCTCTCCCGACGACGCCATAAAGAGAGAGAGAGAAGGGGGGTGGAAGAGCCGCTTGCAGCGTGCCCTCGCCGTTGTTGCCGCCGCTCGCCGTAGTCACCCCCCTCCCCCCGCCACGCCCGCTGCCGGCCACTGGACGCCGCTCCTGACGTCGCCATAGAGAGAGAGGAAGAGGGGAAGATGAGAGAGTGATAGGCGGACCCCACCATTTTTTATAAGAAAATATTGACTGGATTGCCATGCGTACGTCATGTAGAAAAAAACCACTCTGGATTGGGTCGAGGGGGGTAGTTCGTCCGGTATTGAAAGTTTAAGGTGAGCAATGTCTGGTTTTCAGGTTTATGAGGTAATTCAGTCGACCACGACAGTTAGGGGGTAATTCATAATTTTTCCTTTTTTATATGCATGCACTTTTAGTGTATAAAAAAGATATACAAGTATACTATATGTAACTTTGTATGCGCACGTTTTAAAGAAACAAAAAAAACCATCTAGTTGTATATGTACGTAAAAAAACCAAAAGAAGGAAAAAAAACTGAAAAAAAAACAGGAAAAAAAAACAGAAAAAAAACAGAAAAACCGCACGTGCAGCCTCTTCCCGCGCCCATCCGGCTTTCCTCCTTTCCGCGCGCCGCGCGGGGTAGGGCGCTTGGAGCCTTGGCCCTTGGATACCCACCAATTAGCAGTTGCGGTTTGCATGTCACTACGAACAAGAATTAAGATAAGTAGTTGAAAAGTTGTTGAAAGTGAAACGGAAAAGATATGATCATGGGCGTGATCAAAGGAAGAAGGGGCAGTTTCAGATACTATATTAATTCTGTATTCTGTTGTTAATTAATTAAGCTTGTGCTCAATCGATCTGCATTAATTGAAATCACAGATCGATCGCCCTGCCATGGAGCTCCTCTGCGACGACCTGCTGGACTCCATTCTCCTGCGCCTGGACTCGCCCGTCTGCCTCATCCGCGCCGCCTCCGTCTGCAAGCGATGGCGCCGCGTCGTCGCCGCCGACGACGCCGCCGGCTTCCTCCGCCGCATCCGCTCCCTCCACCGGCCAACCGTCTACGGCCACTACTCGACCGGACACGAAGATTCCATCGAAGCGTATTTCCATTCTTGCAGACGGCCGGTACCCTTCTTCCTCCCGTCGTTGCCGGCATCGGTCTCCACTGGCCATGACTTCCTCCGCTCCTACCGTGAGATCCTCGACAGCTGCGGCACCCTCCTCCTGCTCCGGCGGCTGAATTTCACCTACAAGGGCATCACCGTCTACGAGCCACTCACTCGCCGGTGCCGGGTAATCGACGACCCGCCGGCGCCGTGGAACGGCAAGGAGTACAGAGATTGGGGCGCCTACCTCCTTGGCTGCCGACTGCCCCTCATCGTCACCAAAAGCCCTAAAGCCGTCACAAAGAGGTTTGGTGACAGCAAACTGTCACGAAACATCTGTCACCTTTGATTGGTCACGAAATCTAATATTCCGTGAAGGCAAGCTGTCACGAGGCGTTTAGTGACTGGTTAGCTGTCACCAAAAAGGCTATACCACCAATTCATCAATTTTGGCCATTTTCCTGACGATGAGATACCGGCCGTTGGGAAAATCTTTTTGTGATGGTAGTAACAGTCACGAAACATCATTTTTCTGACTGAATTTAGTTGTCAGGAAATACCTTTAGTGACTGGTTGGCTGTCACAAAATAGGCATACACACATGCCTACAAATATTATTATAATTCATTAAACATCTATATATCAAACAACTAGAGATGCTATCCAAAGTTCACAGGTTACAAAGAATCACAGTGTCCACATGCAAAATTTTCACAAAAGCACATAAGTTACCATTGAACATCCATGTCTTTACTTCACATAATACATAACAGTACAAACTTGTGCACTAATTAAAATTCTACATAAGGTCCTAACTTCTAGCAGTTAGACAATGCTTTTAAGTCACAAATCAAATATGACGCCGTTCCATGGAAGTCATTCTTCAATGGTCAATCATTAGAAGTATCATTTGAAGTAAAAAAAATGTCCTCTATATACTTTTTCATCAAAAAGACCAATCAACAATCATCTGCAAAAAATGATGCCATACAACAGGGAATCAGCATATTACATGATGAAGCAAAACTGCAGAAGATGTTGAACTACAAAAAAGGGTGAAACAAATCAAGTAGAACTACAGAAGATTAGTGAGAAAGAATTGTTCAGTAAAATTTCATATATGTGCGCATCACTTAAGTTTATATCAAACTAAAGTTGAGCTTTTACCTAGTATCAGTATCAAATAGCTCAAAATACAAAACTTTAAGTTATGTTTACAAAAAAGGCTTCTTGAATTTATAATATTATGCAATTATGCTACATATATGGAAGTGTGAGCATGTAGTAAATAAAATTTGAGGCCATATATGTAAGGCTTCTAGTCATTTTCATCAAAATCCAAAGAAGCTGAACTTAGATTCCCAATGAAATCTAGGCATGTTCATCCAAGAGTTACCTGATTTAGACAATCTATATTGAGATAAACAACTTAAATTATTATTGTATTAAAAACTAGCAATTTACTGGTCTGCAAGTATCAGGAATCAATCTAATAAAAAATTATCTGTATGGGCTGGCAATTCATCGAACACCAATAAGGCACCTTAGATGTCTAGAGAAAAGCAGAGACACATTACTACTGGAAAGTTGATGAGGGAGATTGAGGGCACTAGGAGAAGGGAGATCGCTGGAGGAGAGAGCAGCGTGGTGCAACTCACTTCGAGGAGAACAACGACGGCACACCCCATCGTGACGGAGAGCAGCGGTGACGCCCCTGGTACCGAGGAGTGCGGGGCTGACGCGAGCAGGGTTAACGAGCGCACGGGGGCTCAACCAGTGGCACGGCCGGTGATATCGATGAGCGGTGGGGCTGCACGACTGTCAGAAATGGTTTTGTTAAGATGATATAGTGGCTCAAAAATTTGTGTTATAGTGTTCAATAGTAAACCGATAATGGCTAATGGCAGGATCTGAATGAGCATGATTACCAAATAATATTTCACCAGAATTGTAGTTCTGCTGCAGTAAAAGATCACTCTTCCTTTGTTTCATATTCTTCTTCGTCCTCATATTCTTCAGACCCATCCAAACGTTTACGTGCGAGCTGCCATGGCCGCCGCCCCTGCACGCATGCGTAGGCAAGCATGCGAATTACTGATCCGTGGCTTATATATATGCTTCGCATATGCCCACTCCGTTCCCTTTTTCAATATATAACGCTTTGATTTTTTTTCTTTTTATATATATTTAAACATTTATCTTATTTGAAAATTGATGTAATTATAATTTATTTTATTGTGATTTGATTTATTATCAAATGTTTTTTAAGCATCACTTATATTTTTTTATATTTGTAAAAAATCAAATAAGATGAATAGCCAAATGTTTGTTAAAAAATCTAAAAATACGGAGGTAAGAATCAATTAACAATGCTTTTAGGGATACAGAACCGTTCATATATACTGTTCTTTTTGTGATTTTTTTTCCAGAACACCTACATACTACCTCCATACTCATAGATGTTTTGTATATATTACTTAGGCAAAATTTACTTTAGGACACTCTAGTTTTACGATTTTACCACATGATACTCTAATTTTATGGCTCTGTTAAAAGACATTCAGTCCATTATTTTAATGATATCTTCAAATTGAGAGATAAACTTTATAAATAATGTTTTTACCCTTGGGTTCACCTAGCATATTCAAATCTGAACAAATTTTAGCTGATTCTAAACATTTGCAAAATTTAAAAGCTGTGACAAGTTACAGGAATAAAAATATTTTAAAAAATGTCTAAATGTTAGAAAATAATATTTCAATTTTCATTTTTTGAAAAATTTGAATGTATTTGATTCCAGTAATTTGGGACAAGTTTTGAGTTTTGCAAAAATATGTTTAAATTCTACCAAAATGATTTTAAATTTGATTAATGCAAGGCGGTTCATGTGTAAAATCATCTTTTATAAAGTTTTATCTCTCTATTTTAAAATAAACCACATGTCTTTTAGAAAAGAACCATAAAACTAGAATGTTCTGTGGCGAAAGGCACAAAACTAAATTTGCTCTCGGACACTAGGAGCAATCTAGTGTCCTATAGCAAATTTTGCCCACTTAACCATTCATATTATTAAAAATGTGATATAAATATAAAAAAAGTATAGTTCATACTTAAAGTGCATTTAATAATAACACAAATCATAACAAAGGAATTAATACTTAATATAGTATTTTAACAAGATGAACAGTCAAATGTTATATATAAATGTCAACTGCACCATACTACCTCTTCCCATAATAATTGTATTTGTTGGATTTAAATTTGTCAGAAAATAATTGTTACAATAGAGTACTAATGGTCCTACTCCCATTCAAATTTCTCCCTATTTTACCCTCAACTACCCATTCACTCTTATCTATACACCATTAAATAAGGGGCATCATAGTCTTTGTTCTCAAACCTTAATATATACTAAACAAACTAGAATTATAATTTATATGGGACGAAGGTAGTATATATTTAAAAACGGCGACAGTATATCTAGTTACTGATGTGTTGGCCATTGATTTCAATGAGTACTTTAAAGTCTTAAAAAGATTTGTCATTTGAGCTGCTGTACTAAATAGGCTTCAACTAATCATACTTAACCATACGTAGTTACCTATGTACACTACATAAGTTGACTCCTACTCCCTCCATCTACAAATATAAAAGATTTACAGGTTTAAATTTTTGGATTTGTCTAAGTAGCATTCGACAAAAATTTGAGAATGAAATCTTACGTATTTTGGACACTTTGATCCGCGTCAAGATTCGTGCATGTGTTTCTTCTCCTCCGACTCTCGCAAGCTTCCCTCTTCTTTGGTGCTATTGAGAACTCCAACTCCATCAGGGGGCATATGGATTAGGGTTTGGGGTTGGGGGAGAGGGAAAAGGGGGTTTTCCCAGGGCTGAGAGATGGCTGTGGGTAGTGGACACAGGCGGGCGACGAGGCACCGGAGCTGTGGGGATGGTAGTGGGCGGTAGCCCGGTGTTGGCAGCGGGGGCAAATGACGAGATTGGTGAGGAGGCTATGGCCGGTGGTGGTGGATCCGTTGGCGAATCCGATGGTAGGGAGCCACTGAAGATGGGGAAGAGGACATGATGGGTGGCAAGGGGGGGACGGGAGGAGGCCAGCTAGTGGGACCTCGTTGCTGTTGACCCCTTTAGGTCAGCCGACGAGGCCAGGCAGCAATGCCGCAGGAGATGGAGGAGCATGTGAGGGCGTGAAAGCAGCAACAGCGGGCAAACTGATGAGAGAAGGAGAAAAACTAGGGTTTAGGTATGTTGCATGAATCTCAAAGTGATCCAAAGGTCCAGAATTTGCAAGATTTGAGATTTTTTTTACATCAAAAGGCACATAGGCAGCCCCTTAAAATTATCACTATGATAAAGGATTCTAAATTATTAGGTGTACTCTTTCCATCTACAAAGATCTCAGCTGCTCCCCGACCTTTATCTGTTGGATCCGTCTGATCTAGACCCCATAGTAGAGAGGAGGGGCGAGCTGGAGAGCCGGATTGAGGTCATGAGGAGAGGTAGAGGAGTGGGAAAGGAGCTCAAGATCCAGGGTCGTAGTGATAGGGAGTCATCCCCGCTCATCGGCTAGGGTTGTAACAGTGGGAGTCATCACCAGTTGTTGGTTTGATCGGGGTCAGACCCTCTATCACCCTCTATCACCAGTGGCGTAGCCAGGTTTTCAAGGTGGGGTGGTCCAACTCAACTTATTATTTTTAATACTATGGATGTAATATGCCGATGTACGCACAGAGATAAAATTTAACAACCATATTCTCATCAAAAAATTAAAGAGGTCTTACAAATATCTTAAAATAAACAAGTCTAAAAGTTTCTTATTTCTAAAAAAGAGATGCAATATCTCCACCCCTCTTCATTTTTCAGCAAATCTACAATGGGATTATACAGGATTGCAAGGTTTCAATTTACCATCCCAATTCCAATCGGATATCCTAAAATTGAAATGATATTGAACATTTGAACCTAAAGGAAAATTCCTACTGTTAGGGCCTTTAGAGGAGAAAGGAGAAAGAGAGAAGCAAGGGCTGGAGGGGGAGATGAGAAGTTGAGAACCTACTGCCGTGTTGTGCTGTGGTGCTGCATGCCTGCTGGCGATGAGTGCTGCTGACTGCTTGCTCCATGCTGGATGCCGCTGGTCTGCTGCGGCGCTGCGCGCTGCCTGCCTGCCGGCGGCTGCCGCCGTCACACGTTAGTGCCTCACTGCCTTGGTTGTCGTCGCTGACTCGTCGACTCGCGTGATCGAAAATTGGGTACGACAATTGTGATAGAAACGAAGGGACGCGGTGCTTGTTGCAGCGAAAAAACGAAGCAAAACAGTTGCCATTGATATTTTTCTAGAAGTAACGCATAGGGGTGATGGGCCTTGGGCTAGATTTCTATGGTGGTCCATGGACCACAGGGACCACAGTGTAACTCCGCCCACATACTACCATCTGACTTTGAGTTACTGTATGTTAGTGATCCATGTTAGAGGAGACTCGTCCATCAGGGTGATAGGGAGAGTGGGAGAGGAGATTGGAGTGGTCGAGGGCATTGACGTGCTTTTAGAGTTAAATGTTTTTGCCCTCCCCCAAGTGCACTGCTCGAGTTGATGGTTTTTATTCTGGTTAGTTAAAAAAAACTGGCACATAATTCTTTTAAAGGTGTTAGTTCGTGTAAAAAACCGGCACCCTGCCATGTAGTTCAATGAAATCAGCACTAATATGATGTCATCAATGCCAGTTCTGGCCCATAGAGGGTGCGAGCTAGATACCCCTTGGCCTCATATCCAGATGGAATGGTGTTCGACGAGAAGGAGGTAAAACACTTGATGGCAATGACATAGTTTGAATTTTGTAAAATTTGGTATTTTTTTCAAGGGACTGCATATGAATCATTTGACCAAAAACCTGCTAGAAATCTTACAAATTCTAGATCGTCCAATGGCTTTAAGATTCGTGCTAGGCAACCAAACCCTAAAACCCCTTCCTTCTTTCCTTCAACTCCTGTATCCTCCTCACGCTATCGCTGCTAACTAGAGCCAGATGCACACTACTTGCACCAACGCTGGAGACAAGTGCCATCGGCCTCGCTGGCTGCCGAAAAGCCCACAGTCGTTGGATCTGCCACCACTAGCCGCCACCTCCTAACCACTATTTCTGCTTTGCCACAACTGCCAACACCAGCCCACTTCCCGCTTTTCGACCCTGTGACTTCAGCGGCGGGACCTCACCACCCACCGCTAGGCTGACACCTCACACGAACATCCCTTTAAAGCCAGTGAACTCCCCTCCCCCTCCCTACCCTTTTCCCAATCTTGGACCCTAGTAGTATGTAGGTCGCTACCAAAGTTTGGGGTGCCGCCGGTGACGGAGAAGACGAGAAGGTCACCCGAGTTAAAGAGAAGAGCAGGAGCACGAATCACAAAGCTCATCCGATGGCTCAAAATCTGTAAAGATTTGAAGGTAGGTTTTCTATCGAATGATATTTTGCAATTCCTTATTTTTCAATACGGCAAATTTGTAATGTCATATCCAATTAACTCTGATATAAAATACTTTGTAGCCAATTTGTCAAATTTAACCGCTCTTAATAATATGATGCACATATAACGATACAAATTAAAAATAACTCACGGAAACTATTTTAAATATGAATGCTCACTCTGGAGAGCTAAATTAATCACGGCAGGGTGCATGCATGCAGTAAACTCAAATTGTCACAACAAAAAGTCACCGAGTCTAATCACGATCACAACGACAAACTGTAGAATGTAATGAGGCTACGAAAGGACTCCTCGATCAGAAGTGAAAGAAGGCGAGCAGAGGAGCTGCCACGGCGGCGGCGACGACGAGCACGGCGGTGGTCGATGCCATCGGAGACCTCGCTGCGGCGGCGCCCTTCGCCGGTGCCGCTGCCGCACCGCCGCTGCCGGACGATGTCCCCGGGGCCACGGACGGCGACGGCGCCGGTGCTGCAAGTTCACAAATTAATCAAGAGAGAAACATCACTGTCTACGCATGCTCATTGCCAGCAAAATAGGGCAGGGAAAATGCAGAAACCACATACTGTACCGATCAGTTGTTGTCAGTTTGGTACAATCCAAAATCTGTTACTGCTACTACTAGTAGTGTAGTACGTCCACTGAACAGAAATGTCTAGACACTGGATGGCAAAGCTAGCTAGCCTGATCACACAGAGTGCCAGATGGAGAGCATTTGCGTGTCCTGTAGTAGTGGCTGTCATTCTCAGCGATGCCACGAATCAACATGCCGCTGTCTGGGCTCAGATCTAGTCGAGAATTCGCATTACGTTTTGGCTGCCTAGCTAGCTGACTAGTAGTAAGGTTGCAGCAGCTTGGACGCTCCCGTGACTTAAGCCAAGCTTAACTAACCCCGTGACTGCATAGCTAGCTGCACTATCAATCAGTATGTACAAGTTGGCCAAGATCCAGATCTCTAGGAATCAATTTGTACTATTACTTGTTCTAATCTAGCTCGATTTGCGCAATAATGCAAAATATCATGTCCTTTTCAGGAGAGGGCAGTAAGATAGGAATGCATTCAAAGATATGTGATTTGGATGGTAAAAGTTTCTGTATGTACTTGCCTGCAAGATACTGATGTGATTAGGATGATAAAAAAGTTTCTTTCGACTACATGCTCTTGTCTTTATCTTTCTGCTAGCTAGCTATTTAGGATTCACATGCAATCGATCGATCGCAAATCAACAAGATAATGAAAAAAGGTAGAGAATATAAAACTAATAATACTGCTAGCTCATCAGTTTGTGGATAAGGAACAGAATGGCGGCCCCCCATTTATGCCATTATTGTGAACCAAATGGACCAAAGCCCATGTGAAAGAACAATGCTTGTTTCGCTATTTTGTTATAAATGCTCACGCTTTATTGTAGAAAGATAAGCTCATCTTCGTCAGCAGCAGTACTATCAGTATCAACCAATTAAGTTTGTTCAGTTGAATTTATCAAATCAATTTAACGAAATTCTGTTTGTGCATATACTCTTCGATCGAGCGAATGGTCCTAAAAAAAAGCTGAATAGACGTTCGGGTTTCTTTTCGTAAGTGACGGAAACATACCTAACGCAAACTGCGAACCTGCAAACTAAATCCTAGAAAGATTTGGTGATGAAAGTAAAGTAAGATTTGAAATTCAAGGTATAATTTTGGACGTAAAGATTTGTAAACTTGCTAACCCAACAAAGAAGAGTAAACAAGAAGAAGAAGCAGAAGGGTGACTGACCGAGGCACTTGCTGAAGGCGGAGGCGTCGGCGCCGCAGGCGGCGGGGAGGTGCAAGGCGCGGGTGATGTTGATCGGGAGGGGCAGCGTCTTGGAGGTGAAGGCGGCGCACAGGCAGCCCACGGCGGCGCTGTCCTTGAGCGCGCCCTTCACCTCCCCGCAGCACAGCTTCGACGGCCGGCTCGGCGCCGTCTTCCCCGGGGTCACGTAGTCCAGGCAGTCCGCCAACTTCAGCGCCTCCGCCGTGCAGTCCACGGCCGGCGCCGGGGCCGGGGAGCTCGCCGTGGCGCCGTCGACCCCCGCCACGGCCGCGAGGCCTACGACCAGGAGGCACGCCACGGCGGCGGCTCTTGCGGCAACAGCCATGGCTAGCTAGCTCTACGGGTGAGTCGGTGAGCAACTTGGCTTTGCTCGGAAGTCGGAGCAGAGGTGCAAGGAAAGGGAAGCGAATAGATGGATGGATGGATGTTATAGCTCTTGCTGGGGATGGGGAGATGGATTTTTTTTTTTTTTACAAAATATCTTATGTACCCATTAATTTTCGTCTAATCTCATTTGTGTCCCTAAATTTTGCTTTATCCTCTACGTACCCTTAAGTTTTCATTTTTATCCACTATAGACTCATTATATGAGTTGGCTGTCAGTTGACCGTTAGATTTGCCCCAAAATATCTACTCTCTTTTGTTTCATTTGTTTTAGGTTATAAGACGATTTGACTTTTGTCAAAAACTACTCTAAGTTTGACTAATTTTGTAAAAAAAATTAATAATATTTTTAACCCAACACAAATATATTATAAAAATTTATTCAATTATAAATTTAATCAAATATACTGGTTTTTGTAAATATACTACTTTTTCCTACAGAGTTAGTCAAACTTAGAGTAGTTTGACATTTACTAAAGTTAAAACATCTTGTAACTTATGTCATATGCTTAGTAGTTGATTGAAAAAAAAAACATGGCTCTCAACATAAAGTTGATTCGTTTATAAAAACAAACATGACATAATTACTTGATCATAAATTTGAAAACTAAAACTTAGATTTTTAGATAAGTTTCAAATAAGATTTGATGAATTTTATTCAAAATTTCGCTGAAATTTAAAACCAAATAAGAAACATTTTTTGGTTTTCAAATTCTGAATAAAACATATTTGTGGATTTCGTTATCTTTTGTAAAATATTTGAAAATTTAAATTTTATTTTCAAAATCCGGTATCAATAATCATGTCCTTTTAATTTTATTATAGATTAAGCTTTTTTTATAACGAAACTTTTGTTCTTAAAGTAGGAAAGCAAAGGGCAATATAATCATTTTGGTTCTAACAGTTAATTCACAACAATGGTATGGAAGGGATCAAAATAAAAACTTAGGGACATATGAAGGATGAGGTAAAATTTAGGGGCACATAAAAGATTGTGTGAAAACTCATGGGTAACTAAAGAATTTTCTCTTTTTTTCCCAGCTTTGCTCTATTTTGGAGGTGAGTGAAAATTTGGAATCTTCAGATGACTTTGTGGGCCATAAATATTGCTTCAAGATTGGTGCAGGAATCAGGCTTCGGTTTCTGATGTGGGATTCGTTAACGGGTGGCATTTTTTCGCTCCCAACCCATTAACTCACGACGCTTCGGGTGGTGAGAGGCAAGGTTAGGCGAACCGTTGAGGAGAAAATTACGTATCTACCATCGCATAAGGTTGCATTCGCTAGAATACCATCGTTCAAATTGGCTTCGCTAGAATACAACTCTCAACAAGGACGTCTTCACCAAAATGCTACTTTGGACGAAAATGCCCCAGTTCTTCTTCTTCCTCGCACTAATACCACAAGAGCTTGCCGACAGCAACGGCTACCTCCACTGTCGTGCCACCGGTTCCACCTTGCCGGTGGCGATAGGGGTGCTACCCTACCCGTCGTCCCTGCCTTTCATCTTACCCACCGCGATGGGAGGAGGCCTGCCAACGTCGTCCATGTTGATGGGGACAAACTCGCCGGTGACGGAGGTGGTGTGTCGAGGCGGGACGGACGAACTCGCCGGCGATAGGGGCGGCGCCGTCGCAGAGGCCAAAGGCGAGCAAGTTGGTCTGATGCTGCATTGAAGTAGGAGCCGGAGAAGACCGTCGTCGTTCGCTCCTCATCTTCGCTGCTACCGTGCCGCGTGCCATTGCCATTTCCTCGTACCGGAGGCGGAAGAGGTAGAGGCAAGGGCATTTTCATCCGGGATGGTATTTTGGCGAAAATGTCCTTATTGAGAGTGGTATTCTAACGAAGCTATTTTGAGTTATGCAATGGTAGATATGAAATTTTCTTCGCGTTGAATGGCCTTTTAGGATCGAAGAGTTCACGGGACTTGTTAGCGTACTGTACAACTTGTATAGCTGGCATAGTCTGTTTGCATGGATAGGTAGCAGCCTGATCAACTACTTGTACCTAGTCATACGCACACTGTACCGAGTCTCTTGTTCTGGTTGTTATGAGACTGTAATCCTGCTATATATATCAATGAGATACGCCACCAAATGTGTGGCGTCCCCCTCAAACCCTTTCATGGTATCAGATTGATCTCACGATCCACATCTCCCGCTTCCACAACTCTACCACTCCAACCCTCCCTAATGGCTCAAGACGACTCCGCCGCTAGCGCTACCGCCGCCACTGCCGCCGCTGCTGAAGTAGCCAAGACAGCCTGTGCCCAGCTTTGGTCCCAAGCCGTCGCCGTCCACATCAAGTCTCTCGTCCCGGTCGTCCTCGACCTCTCCAAGTCCAACTACACCCATTGGCGTACCCTCTTCGAGCTGTCTCACCACCTCTCTCCGGCAAGCCCCTCCGCGCCACCCGTCGACGCCGACTGGCGACAGATGGACTACACTGTCCTCTCCTGGATCTACGGCTCCATCTCCTAGGAGATACTCGGCATCGTCATAGCCCCTGGCGGCACCGCCGCCTCCATGTGGCAGTCCATCGAGAACCTCTTCCGCTACAACAAGACCACACAGGCGATCCATCTACAGGCTGAATTCTCCAACCTGGTGCAAGGCGATCTCTCTACACCACATGAAGCTTTATACAAAAAACCACCCTCCTATACCCACCAAAAAGTTTTTGGCTGTTTATGTTACCCAAATCTCACCTCCACTGCACCACATAAACTTTCTCCCCATTTGACGGCTTGCGTCTTCCTCGGCTATCCGTCCAACCACCGTGGTTACCGCTGCATGGATCTCGTCTCTCGCCGAATCATCATCTCTCGCCATGTCGTCTTTGACGAAAACGTGTTCCCTTTTGCAGCCACCACCACTACCTCGCCTGATGAAACATATGACTTTCTTTGACATCCCAGCAGTACCTGCACCGCTAGTTGCAACCCAGCCAACAGCAGCCACTGCCATGCCGCCGACCGCGCCGATCGCACCAAACACCGCCACTGCACCATCTGCGCCGATCGCACCATATGCTTCTACAGCTGCCACTGCACCATATGCTCTTACAGCTGCCGCAGCACTTCGCATGCAAACCCGGTCTCACTCTGGCATTCACCGCAGCCCGCGCGAGCGGCTCAACCTCCATGCTTCGGCCACTACTTTGTCACCTATTCCCAAGTCTATTCGTTCAGCCCTAAATGATCCGAATTGGCATGCAGCCATGGTTGAGGAATTCTAGGCTCTCACCTCCAACAATACCTGGAACTTGTCTCTCCACCACCCCGAGCCAATGTAATCATCGGGAAATGGGTTTTCAAACACAAATTCCATCCTGATGGTTCCCTTGAACGCTACAAAGCATGATGGGTTCTCCGCGGTTTCTCCCCAAAGGCCGGTGTTGATTTTGGCGAAACATTTAGCCCCGTCATCAAACCTACCATTATTCGGGCTATCCTCTCCCTAGCCCTTACGTCCAAATGGCCAATACACCAACTGGACGTTAAAAATGCCTTTCTCCATGGTCACCTCTCAGAAACGGTCTACCGTCGCCAACCTACCGGCTTCATCGATGCCAAGCACCCCGACGCCGTATGTTGCATGAACCCTTCTCTTTACAGCCTCAAACAGGCTCTCCGGGCCTGGTTCGAGCGCTTCAAAGCGTTTGTCCTTGGACTTGGCTTCACGGCGGCAAAATCGGACTCCTCACTGTTCATCTTCCGGAGCTCTCTCGGCACTGCGTACCTTCTACTATACGTTGATGACATAATATTGACAGCATCAAGTGCCTCCTTGCTGCAACGCATCATCAAAGCCCTCAGCTCGGAATTTTCGATGAAGGACATGGGCCCTCTACACCACTTCCTCAGCGTCCAAGTCCATCGCAGTGGCACTACAATGCTCCTGCATCAGGAGAAATATGCCACCGATCTCCTTGATCGCGCCGACATGACGTCGTGCAAGCCATGCTCAACTCCGGTCGACACTTCGTCCAAGTTGTCTGCCGCCACAGGCGTTGCCATTGCAGACCCGACAGCATATCGCAGCATGGCTGGAGCTCTCCAATACCTGATATTCACAAGGCCAGACATAGCATATGCAGTACAACAAATATGTCTACACATGCATGATCCATGTGAAGGTCACTTGAACCTGGTGAAGCGAGTTCTCTGCTATATCAAAGGTACACTGCGTCACGGCATACTTCTATCGGCTTCGTTGCCAAACAAGTTCACCGCTTACTCGGACGCCAACTAGGCTAGGTGCCCCGACACTCGCCGATCGACGTCGGGCTTCTCCGTCTTCCTCGGCTCCAATTTGCTGTCTTAGTTTGCTAAGCGCCAGCCTACCGTCTCACGATCAAGTGCCGAAGCCAAGTACCGCGGCGTCGCCAACGCGGTCGCCGAAATAACCTGGATTTGACAACTCCTCCGTGAGCTTCCTCAACCACTTCACCGAGCTACGGTCGTCTTCTGCGACAACATCTCCGCCGTCTACATGTCAGCTAATCCTGTGTAGCACCAACGAACAAAACACATTGAGCTCGACCTGCATTTTGTCCATGAGCGTGTTGCTCTTGGCCAAGTTCGAGTTCTTCACGTCCTGTCGTCCGCTCAGTTCGCCAACGTCTTCACCAAAGGACTGACGTCGTCACTCTTCCTCGACTTCAGATCCAGCCTCAACGTTAGTGAACTCCTGTCCCGGCTGAGTCCGTGGGGGTGTGTTAGCGTAGTGTACATCTTGTATAGCTGGCATAGCCTGTTTGCATGGATAGCTTTGCATGGATAGGTAGCAGCCCGATCAACTACTTCATACGCACACTGTACCGAGTCTCTCGTTATAGTTGTTATGAGGCTGTACTCCTGCTATACATATCAATGAGATATGCCACCAAATGTGTGGCTTCCCCCTCAAACCCTTTCAGGACTGACAGGAGTGAGATTGCTCTTCCCTTTTCTCTTTCACGTACGCTGCTTATTTTGAGATTGCGGGAGCCAGGAGGGGCGCGATTCGGCTACCTCTGGCAATTCAGTGGTTCACCGTGGCGAGGAGTCGATTTCGGCTATCGGGCAATTTGGCGATTCACCGGGGACGAGGTGGAGGGGGACTCGGCGGCCTCGGTGGTCAATTCGTTCCCACCGATGTCCCCGGAGGGTTTTTTTTTTCTTTGATCACGCCTCATGGTGAGTTTTTCTTTTTGGTAATTCCAAGACTTCTTTTTTCTATCCACTTGTGGTTATCACCTTGTTGAATCTAAGTTTTCCTGTTACTCGCATTATGCTGTGTGTGCATTGCGCTTTGTATTTTTGCCCAGTTCCTTAACATGCATGTGCATTGTGCAACGGTGAGCTCGTGTGTAGTGGATTAGCGCGATGCGTGCTGGATTTGTTCAGATCGAACAGATTGGGGATTGGATGCATGTGTTTGCAGCTGCTAGCATGTTTGGTTCTGTTTTTTTTTAATGTAAGATGTAAGAAAAGCGCTAGGCTACCAGTGGCAGTCGTGTCTCTTTATCCAAAACTAAGGCACGTTTACTTATTAGCAGCAACAATCCAATGCCATTCATTTCAGCTTGAAAACACTGATCACTAGCTGACACATACATTGTACATAGCGGGGAATTAATTAGATCGTGATGTCAGATGCTTTTCTGTTGTTTACTGCTTAATACTTCCAGCCTCTCTTTTGGGAGCAAGGATCAGTCAGCATCAACTCAATGGTTAGCATGTGCTTAGCGCTGACTTTGCACAAGTAGTATTACCCTCCTTGCTGACATACTCCTTCCGTACTCGTAAAGGAAGTCATTTTGGACAGCGACACGATCTCCAAAACACAACTTTGACTTCTTGTTTCTATAAAAATATTTATTGAAAAGTGATATATGTATACTTTTATGAAAGTATTTTTCATGACAAATCTATTCATATAATTTTTATATTTTCAAACTCAACAGCTTGAGGGTTATTCATGATTTATATTTTCAAGGTTTAACTTAAACATTATCTTAAATGACTTCCTTTTAAAATACGGAGGGAGTACAATTTTATTTTCTCCTGAAGGGATTGAATTTGGAACAGAATGGCGGCCCCCATTTATACCATTAATATGAACCAAAGGGACTAAAGCCCATGCGAAAGAACAATGTTTGTTTCACTAGTTTGTTAAGCTCAAGCAGTACTACCAGCCAATTAAGTCTGTTGAGTTGAATTTCTCAAATCAATTTAACGAAATTCTGTTTCGAGAATACTCTTCGATCGAGTGATCCAAACAAAGCTGAATAGACGTTCGGGTTTGTTTTTGTAAGTGATGGAAAACATACCTAACGCAAACTGCGAACCTGAAAACTAAATCCTAGAATAAAAAGGAGGCGCTAAAACATGATCTAGGCACGGTTTGGTGATGAGATAGTAAAGTATAAGATTTGAAATTCAAGGCAATTTGGATGTACGAATTTGTAAACTTGCTACCCCCAACAAAAGAAGAGATTAAAGAAGAAGCAGATCAAAGTACGTTGACTGACCGAGGCACATGGTGAAGGCGGAGGCGTCGGCGCCGCAGGCGGCGGGGAGGTGCAAGACGCGGGTGGCGTTGATCGGGAGGGGCAGCGCATGGGTGGAGATGGCGGCGCAGAGGCAGCCCACGCCGGCGATGTCCTTGAGCACGCCCTTCACCTCCCCGCAGCACGCCTTGGACGGCTGGCTCCGCGGGGGGTTGCCCGGCGTCACGTAGTCCAGGCAGGCCCCCACCTTCAGCGCCTCAGCGGCGGTGCAGTCCACGGCCGGCGCCGGCGCCGGCGCCGGGGCCGGGTGGGAGCTCGCCGTCGCGCCGTCCACCCCCGCCACGGCCGCGAGGCCTAGGACCACCAGGAGGCACGCCACGGCGGCGGATCCTGCGGCGACTGCCATGGCTAGCTCTACGGTGACTCGGTGAGCAACTAGCTAGGTTTGCTCGGAAGTGGGAACTAGGAAGTCAGAGCCTCGGAGGTGGTGCCAAGAAATGGAAACGAATAGATGATGGATGGATGATATTATATAGCTGCGGGTGAAGATGGGGCGGGTATTTTTTTGATCACCCATCCACCCGATTCGAGGCTCGCGGGAATATAGGAGGAAAAACGGGACACCTGATATTATCTAAATTCGTTAGAGAATATGGGTTAGGATATGGGAAGATATACATCCGCCCGTTTGTCTCAAATTATAAAATATGTATAAAATCCTATTATAAATACACCAATAAATATGATAAAAGATTGGTTAATCACTATTTACGAGCTCACATGTAATGTATTATTTTTCTCTTGACTAGAAAAAATGTCTGTGCATTACAACGTGTGAAGTTTATTTTAATCTTGTTATTGTTATATGGTTTAGTTAAGACGAAATTCATTGTCGGAGTTCGCTTGGATATATATATATATATATATATATATATATATATATATATATATATAGAAAATCATGAGCTGCAGTTAGGAGTCGATCCGATCGTCTCAAGTTAGCATGCGAGTTTTTTTAAACATATATCTTATATAATTCCTTTTGTATTACCAAAAGTGAACGATTTAAAAAACCGACTCAAATACGGATATGTATTTTCAAAATCAAACGAACTTGAAAACTGACTCATACACGGATGACGTACCAAAATACCGGGAAAAACATCTTCAATTTTTATAATAGTAGAGATATATCTTTTTAATACTTTAATTATCTTATTATATTCAATATCTATGAATTAGAGACACAAATAGATATCCATTCTCGAATCTAATTCGAAGAATAATTAATATGGGATAGGATATTAGATGAGCGATATATTATCCGAGCTTCGAATTTAAAAGAAAATATAGGTTAGAATATGGAATCCGACCATACCCCTGTCCGTTTTCATCCCTAGCTCTTACTGGGAGTGGGGAGATGATCTTTTTTTCCCCTCGGGGGGCTTTTCTCCTTTTGTTGATGTCATTTAAAAAGTCATCAAGCTTTTCTAAAAAATAATAAAATTTTATGTTATTTCACTAACACGTAAGATCGAATTCAACTTAATTATGCAATTATAAAAATCTGAATGTGAATTACGTGTTCAATTCTAAATTAAATTTGTTATTTTCATTTCTATTTGTACAAGTTAAATATAATTTATGTGGAGTGATGTATTTTATCTTATTAACTTTTTTTAAAACTTTTTGATGATTTTTTGAGCGACACGTTAAAATTGGGATGACACCAGTAGAGAGATTAATAGGGCTATGACCTGTAAAAAAACAAATTTTCTAAATGGCTAAAAACCAATTTTTACGTACGGGCCTAGGCCTGTCTGCACCCGAGGGCCGCTCCTCCGCTAGCTTCCCGCTCAGCTCGCTGCCAGATCCGCTTTGGGGAGGGCGGAGAGGGCCTCCGTGTTTCGTTGCCCACGTCAGTTGCCATCGGTGCCCACCATTAGAAAGGAGGAGAGGGGAGAGGAATGGACCGAGAGAGGAGTGGAAAAAGTTGGAAGAGGAGGGATTTTCGGATGAAGGTCGCTTGAGAGGTTTGATATTTTTGCATGTGGGCATATTAATAGAATCACCTGCAAAAATAGATTTTTGGATCCAGACCTCTTAAATAACCGTATGCAAGAATAATGATGATCGATTTTTACATACCTTAGCCCACCTGCAATCTATTGGGTGCTCGTCCAGGAAAATCATTTGTGTGGTAGTGATGATCAATTGGCCAATTGCTAGCGGCAAAAAATAATTTATAGATTAAATTTTTTGTATATGTTTTGGATGGTTTAAGCATCAATATTGAAAAGAATCAACGATAAATATAATTTCAAAATCAACTTAAAATTAAAATTTGACATCAGTATATATATACACAGTACTCTCTCCGTACTCGTAAAGGAAGTCGTTTAAAACAGCGACACGATCTCCAAAACATAACTTTGATTTCTTGTTTCTATAAAAATATTTATTGGAAAGTGATATATGTATACTTTTATGAAAGCATTTTTCAAGACAAATCTATTCATATAGGTTTTATATTTTCAGCTTCAACAACTCGAGAGTTATTTATTATTTATATTTCCAAAGGTTTGACTTTCTTTACGAGTACGGAGAAAGTATATTGTAGAACAAAATATGTGGCTGTAGAATTTCCCTGCATGCGTTATCGATTCGACCTGAGGAGTAATTCTTAGCGGTGCGATAAATGCACGAGAAATTGCACCGGTGGTCTCTGTCCCTCGGGACGGACTTTCTGACGGCTGTATCGGTCAAAGAAAAGTCTCCTAACTGTTCACATGCATGACTGTAAGTGATTTTTTTGGGGGGTTTATAAAAGAAATATTTTGAATAAAACATTCTTTGATCAAGAGAAGATGCCCAAATGACAATTGACAGTCGATGGGAAAAAAATCAATTTTATAATTAGCTGTGTAGCTCCATCGTTTGGCTTATATTTATACTTATGAGCCAAAATTTAAATTCAAAACTTAATTTTTTAATTATAATTTACACGTACAAAAAGTGTTTACGTAAATATATATATACCTTTTAGTTATAATTTTTTAATGCATATATATTTTTTGTTGGACCAACACATTATCTTATTGGGCTGAAAACATGTGGGCTTCTAAAGGGGAATATACATGGGCCTTTTCCCTAGTCGGACTCGGCCCGCATTCCACTCGCGCACGTGGGCTGGCTGCGCCAATTCTACCGACTCTGCAGCCTCTGCTCCGCTTTTGTGAGGAAAAGTAAAAAAAAAAAAACAAAATAGACCGTGAAAATTTCGCAGCTTCTCGTGATGGGGGCAGAAGAGGGGAGCAATCCGCCGCCGCCGCCGCCGCAGGCGGCTCCCGCCGCGAGGCCGCAGCCGATAACTCCGGCGGAGTTCCTCTCCTGGAAGCAGCGGAAGGTTCCCCTCTCTTGCCCTTCCCCTGGCTAGTGAATTTTTCGCCATCGATTTAGGGCTACGATTTGCTTGTTTTTTTTTTTCCCTGTCAATTTCTGCCCGTTGCTAAGCTAGCGAGTAGCTCGTAATCTTTTGGGGTAGTTTTCCCCTGTACTAAGCTATTTGAATTAGTGGAAATTTGTATGCTTATCTCCAGATGCGGCCTAAATAGTTGTTATTGTGGCCCGCGGCTATTGGTGTCCTAAACTTCATTTTTAATCTTTTGTGCTGTATGCTTAACAAATCTTAGAACTGGACTCATGTGTTGGAAATTTGTGGTTTCACTGCCACCACCTGATGATATACACCTCTTTATCTTATGGAAATCGCACTTCTGAGTGATTAATTGCAAATGTTTTGGTGCTGTGTGCACGAGTCATCATCAACGGTGCTTTTCTGGCTGCAATTGCTCTTTTATGTTTCCATCTTTTTTCCACTAGGTGATTTGTGCTTTTTTGGGGAAACAAATGAGGCAACCCTTGTCTAGTGGGCTGTGAAAGAATCCCCTTCTTTTATTATAACTCTGTAACGTTGTTTCTCCTTTTGATTTCCTGTTCTGATTCATAAATAACACTTCTGTTCAATATGTGTTTGTTTCTATTAATTTATAATAACACTTCTGTTCAATATGTGTTTGTTTCTATTAATTTATGATTGTAATGCATGGTTACTCTAAAGCAGGTCAATTCTTCTTTATATTTATGCATGTCAGTCATTTAGTATAGGAAGTCTATATGTTTTCTTTGCTGGTAATGGTCCACTATTTCAGGCTTTAACTGTTCAGAGAGTTTTAATCTCATAAGGTGTTCTTACACAGATATTGAGATAATTGTAAATACAGTGAAACATGTAATGTACTTGTTAGATCTCTTGTTGTCTTCTATGTTCAGAGGCATGCCTCCAATTATTGTGGATGTCAATCAAACATTCTCATGAAGCTGTACCATTTTCTTCGTCTGTCCTCTTTGAGCATGAAATTCATAGTAATGTCATTCCTCTCTCTGAAAAGTTAGATCGTTGTCTATGCTAATCTGATGAGGAAGATGCTAAATACAGTTCTTACTACATGGAAGCTTGAGTTTGACAGTCTCACTATTGTCCATTTGTTATCTAATTAATGTAATTGCTTCAAAAGAAAAATGTTGTTTTTGGACTGTGATAGACAATAGCTTCTTATTACATGTTGTACTAAACATGTTGCAATCTAATTGAGTAAACTTTTTTTGTTGCGAGAAGATTAAACTTATTTATGTTTTGGTTTGATTCAGGATGGGAGAACAGTGGTCTTAGTTAAAAATGCTGCTAACTCCATCCCATATTAAAGCTACTATATCCATAATATGGGATGGAGGTAATATCTTTTAAGCACATTTTATGTTTTGGTTTGATTCAGGATGGGAGAACAGTGGTCTTAGTTAAAAATGCTGCTAACTCCATCCCATATTAAAGCTACTATATCCATAATATGGGATGGAGGTAATATCTTTTTAGGCTGATTTCTGCTTTCTCCACTCAGCTTCCCAATGTCATGCTAATGTCTACTACCTCCGCCCCAAAAATCACTTTTCTACACAAATCTAGATAGTCACTTGTCTAGATTTGTGTAGAGAAAATGATTGGAACAGAGGTAGTAGTTATCTGTTGCCCTTATGTGCATCTTCATGGTTAGTCTGTAGACCAATCAACCTCTTCCTTCATATTGAGAATCGAAAACTAAATATTTGCGTTGATTTTATCTAAAAAGAATTTGCGGGTGGTGGTCCTAATTTGCCAGTCAAAACATTTTGGACAGTTGTAGAATATGTATAAATTCTTGAATTTGTTTAATTAGTGGACCTGAGCCTGTGACTACATGGAGTGTACCGTTACCGTGTACATGTCTCAACCTATTGTTAGCTAATCTGGTGATTTTTTTTTTAAAAAAAAAATTCAAGCAAGGTCCCTAACTTTGCCTTGAAAAAGAAATTAATCTGAATAGCAACTTCGTTTCTTCATACTTCAGGATGCAGAGGAAGCTGCAAGGAAAGCTGAAGCAGCACAGAAGCGAGAGGCAGATATAGCTTCAGGAGCAGTACAAATGAATGGGCGAGAGCTGTTCAAGCATGAACCCTGGGTCTTTGACAATAGTATCTACTAAGACGAATGAACTCCGAGAAATTCACAACCATATGTGCTATATCTTCAATTGTGAAGTTCAACAGAGTAGTCTGCATGCAGAGGTAGTAGATATTGTTAGCTTAAGTGTATTTCATATTGTTAAGCATTGCACTTAAGCTAAGCATACGATTTGTTGTCTGTGTTACCGACTTGTGAATTCATATGATTCATATCTTTATGACCTCTATGAAGGCATTCGGATTCCGTAGAAAGCTGCCTGTGTTATCGACTTGTGAAGCATATATCTTCCGAAACGCTTCTCTCCACACGTCCGAGCAGAGGGAAATAATCGGACCGTATAGCATTCCAAGTACTCCCTATAAATGGTGAAATAAGAGGGTGAAATAAGAGTACAGAATAAGGTGATAGCAACAGCAGGCGGTTGTCATCTACGTTTAGGGATGCATGTGTCAGTGGTGCACTTTGAACTGTACCACGTTTTGAACTTTAAATGGCTTTGGACGATTTTTTTTTCTAAATTACTTATCTAAATTTAATCTAATTATACCATTATATGCTACAATTAAATCTTTATAATAAGATTTTACATAACTATATTTCAATAAAGAAAATATGCATGTTACATATAGAGTAAATTGCACCAGTAGTCTTTAAACTTGTCATGAGGTTTCACTTAGATCCACGAACTTGCAAAGCGCATATCGAGATCTCTAAACTTAGCTTATTTTGTATCACCCTGGTCCAAAAACTTGTTTGACAATGGTTTTTCCTATATGGCATATGCCATGTGGACGATGACATGGCCTTTTTTTACCATTTCCCCCTTTTCTTTTTCCTCCTCTTCTTTTATTTCTTCCTCTGCTAGAGCCACCTCGAGCTCCTCCGTGTCGACCGCCGTTGTCACCATGCGTCGCTGCTACTAGAGTCACTTTGAGCTCCTCTGCCTCGATTGCCGCTAGCGCTGAGCATCGCTACTACCAAAGCCGCGCCAACCATAGTCGCCACCGTATACCAGCCACGATGTCTATCCTATTTCTGTCGGATGATGAGCCCGAGCTCGTTCGTGCTGACCCGAGCTTCTCCACCGTCGTTGCTACTCTGTGTTGTTGCCGCTCTAGGCTACCGCCACCGCGCCGAGCCTTCGGTTAAAAATCGAGCTCAGCCACTGCCGTCGTTGCTCCGGACTACAACCACCACGCCTGAGCCACTGATTCAACCTTGGCCCCGTGCCATCTCAGGCTCGAGCTCAGCCGCCGCTGCCCTTGCGGCTCAGTCTCCGCCTGCACTACCCCGAGCACAACCTCGCCTAAATTCTATGGAGCCCGCCATGGCGCCGACGGAGTTGACAGCCGGAGGGGGAGGAGGCGGCATCATGGGGAAAGAAGGGGGCGGCGGCGCCGACAGAGTTGACCTCCACTCCTCTTGCATGGATGGACGACACCAAAGTAATGGTAGGCGGTGGCTGGAAGGTGAGAAAGGAGCAAGAGGCCAAAGGAGAGAGAAATGAAAGAGGAAGAAGGGAGAAAAAAGAAATAATAATAATAAAGCGCCTTGTAGTCATCCACGTGGCATGCCATGTAGGCAAGACCACGGTTAAGTGAGGTTTTGGACTGGAATAATACAATAAACCAAGTTAAGAGACCTCAATACACCATTTGTAAGTTCGTGGAACTAAATTAAACATGTTTGCAAGTTTAAGAACCGCCGGTGTAATTTACTCTTACATATAAGTACATTTTTACTATTGTACCGTAGTTAGCTTTTTCCCAATGTTGTATCTAAGTGAAATATTTTTTTACCAAGCGGTGAAACATTTTTAACCAAACGATGAATCATCTAAAACAATTTTTATTAAAACATTTTATTAAGTGATAAAACATCTTAAATTTTTTTTACACGGTAAAAAACCGTTCGGGTTTTGACTGGGATTCCGAATTTCCGATCCCCAGTCATCGCCAGTATCTTTTGTCCCTCAAGAGCAGACACATAACAAAAATACAAAACTGAAAAATACATTTATGGGGTCTGTCTCAGAGTTTCAACGCTCCCTCTTTTTCCGCGCGTACGCTTTTCAAACTGTTAAGCGGTGTATTTTTTTTAAAAGTTTTCTATAGAAAAATTGTTTTAAAAAAATATATTAATCTATTTTTCAAATTTTCTAGGCTAATATTTAATTAATCACATGTTAATGGGTAATATCGTTTCCGTGTGGTTAGGTAGAGTTCCTAACTTGCGAAAAAACCCGTAAGCCTCGGCAGCCGTTTTACAGGCAGCCTCCTCGAGGAAAACCCCCATCTAGCATGCTCCTAAAGTTTTCAACCAAAACTTATTCTTAAAATTTTTAGTAAAAAATAAAAAAAATCCTCCATACATACACTTGCATGGCTCGGTTGGAGGCTTGGAGCCTGGGTTTGGCTGGTAGGGCCTGATCGTGCACATGCCCCAAGCGCAGCAGAGCGGTTCGAGGCAGGGATCCAGGCCGTGTTGCCCCTGGGTGGCTAGGTCGCAACAGATCGGCCCAGGCGGCTCGGCGAGCGAGCGAGCAAGGCAGATTTTGTGGCAGCGAGGCCGGCCCACGCCGAAGGCCGACTCGGTTCCGATGGCCCACGCAGCAAGGCAGCGTGAGAAGACCGAATCCGAGTTGGAGCGGGACAGCGTGACGTGTCGTAGGATTTCTGTGTCTGCGGTTGCCAGTTTTTCAGAGAGAGTCGTATTCGGTATAGGAGTTGCAATCCTATTTTTCCTGTTATATAAATAGATGATCGAGAGATCTAATCTAGATAGTAAGATATTATTAGTAAAGTAAGAAATTGCTAAAGTGCTTCGGAGGCACATCCAATGTCCTTAGAAGGAAAGCACCGTGTGGAGGAGCGCGGTGATGAGATCGACAAGAGACAGGCCAAGAAGGCAAGGAAAACGTCAGCCGACTTGCTGCTACTCGACCACATCGGCTACCAAGATGAATCTCAAGATGACGGTGGCTCGACATGGACTGCCCCTATGGTCACGTCCCGCGGCGTGCGTTTCCAACTGTCCTTACGCCCAAAAGAGCCACCGGATGTCTCTCGCATGCTGTTCAAGGCGGTCGTTCCAGCTGACATCCTGACGTCCTACGACCCTAACAACACCGCCAACCCCTTCTTACGACCATCGGCACGATTCGTTCTTATTGTGATATCGTCCAACGACAAAGCTATACTCCTGCAGGCCTTATGCGCTGGTGGCATAGACTACTTTGTGATGGATCATCTCGACCACTCGCCTCCTGCCATGACTCGTCTTCCATAGATGCCGCCTTGCATGTGGGGCCTTCGTAATATGGGTTTAATGCGTCGTGATGGCTCTTGCTCTTATGTAGTCGCGGGGCTAGAGCGTAGAAGGTCCGAGGAGGGGTGGCATGTCTTCTTCTTATCGACGTCAACTAATATATGGCGCCGTAAGCTGGTGTGCCTCGCCCCTGATCATGAGCTCCGTGACTACCATTGGGAGGTGTCGTCGATACTAACCTACCGAGGTAGGTTCTGGTGGGTGGACCTGCGCCGCGGTTTGCTATCCTGTTCCTGCGATTCTCTCTTGCTAGAAGACGACATCGAAGCTACCACCCAACAGCCGCTGGACCTCGATTTCACACTGCTCCCAAACGTCACCATGGAGGAGGCCAAGGAGGCCCGTCTATCCGAGTATCCGCTGCAACGAGACCGGTGCGTTGGTATCAGCAGCAATGGCCTTAGGTACGTCGAGGTGCGCGCGCATAGGCATCGGTGCCCGAGCAAATCACCGGTAGCACCCCCGCCTCTCTGCGACGATTGTCGGGCCGACTCTATCACGTCCTGGGTCCTGTACGACCACAGCGGTGCATGGGCAGAGGAGCGCACGCTCAAGCTTGCAGATGTCTGGAGGGACGAGAGCTACCGATCCACGGGTCTACCGAAGAAGGTGGTGGAGTTCTCTTATCGACCCGTTCGATGGTAACATCGTCTACTTCTCTATCAATGAAGGCAAAGTTGGCGACGGCCGCGAGTTTTGCGTCCATCTAAGGACCAAGCAGATCAAGGCCTGCAGCAGCAGCTACAAGGGCTTGAACGACGGAGCTTTGGAGCCTGGTAAGTTCACTGGTCGCCTCCGTTTCAACATGTTGTTTTTATCAATGTACTATATTAATTATTTTGCTATTTTCTCTTGCAGTGTTCACGGCGAGTTTGAAAAGCACCCGCAACTATGATGTTTGCTTCGACGACTGACTAGGATTTGTCAAACCCTGCTCTCTTCCACGCTTTTCAACATCTTCAACCTGTTCTTTTATATCATGATCAGTAAGGGTGAAGAATACAAACGGGCTTGTCCACGAGTCCGCAAATAAACCCTTTTTTTGGTCGAGTTTTGCTTGTATTTAAGTAGGGCTATACGTTTTGTTGCCAAGTGATCACGAACCTGTTTGTTCAATTTTTGATGCAGCCTCTGATAAAAAAAATACTGTAGTGAATTAATAATGTCCATGTATCTCAAAGTATTTTGCTACGTCAACAGCAAAATATGAGTCGTCCTATTCATTCTCCAACCATTAGAAGCCGTTAGATCTCTTAGGACTTGTTCGGTTACGTCTGGATTTAATTCGGGCCGGGAATAAAATTTATGATTGATATAATGAGAGACCGGGATTTATTTTGGACCGGGAACCAATTTACTTATGATAGAGACAACAAAATATTCGGATTAGTTCCACACCTCTTACTAGTGGATTGATTACCGGTCTCTTATTGTCCCTATTATAAGTAAATTGGTTTCCAACTCGAAATAAATCACGGCCTCTCATTGTATCTACATAAATTTCTTACTATACTTATCATTCCCGACCCGGGTTGAATCCGTGTGTAACCGAACAAGGCCTTAAGTGGTAAAACCTCTTCCCCACCCTTCCGAAAACTTCTTCCACGTCCCTATGCTAAAAAAATTGCGGATGAGCCGCTCCGCCTCCAGGAAGACCTCCATCTTCTTTCCCTCCCGTTCTACCGACGGTATGGCGTCCCTTGTGACTACCACCGTCGTTGCCTCCTTTTCCTATTCACAACAGCTGCAGCCCGTCTTTCCCATATCTCCCCATGCTGGCTCGGCCAGACGGCCACCTCTGCCCCCACGCGCTTGAACTGCTGCACCTGCGCTTCCGTCATCAGCACGTCGTCCCCGAATCTCCGCTGTATGGTTGGGATTGGGAATGGGATCGAATGGGATCAATCAAGTATCTGTGACATCT